ACAAGAGAAGATATGAAGGGATGTGTATGCATGTTAGCTTTGTGCGATCGTTTTGCTGGGTGGTGGAGAAGGGGTGACCCTTGGGTTTCTTCGCTTTTGTGGTGCTGGGGTGCATCCATGCGCCTATAGGGCGGGGCGCCCGGGGTTGGGGTCGATTTTTGAAGAAATGATTTTTCCACTTGTACAACATGTGGTGCACAACTCACGTTTCTACTTTCAAGTTGTATTTTTCACAAAAAAATTCCAAGTGCTTGTGTAGCATTTGGTAGCATTTGGCACGAAAAAGTGGGTATTGGCAGCAACATTTTGTGTAAAGAGTGCATAGCTTTCGCAAGATAGTGTACGTGACAATTCCTGGCATCTGTGAATAGTGCACCGGGCAAAATACAGCGTTAGTTGAGAAGTGTCAAGAAGTGGGTATAGTACTTCTAATCTGTGACTGCAGGGCAAATTGCTCTAAATATGGGTGAGTGAAGCAAGCCTACCTAGCCATCACATCACACCCCACGTTTAGTATATACTGTGGGTTCTAATGCAAAGGGGGGTGTAGATGGGGGAAAAGGGACACTGTAAGGGGAATGGCTGGTTCAGACAGGGCAGTACATTTGTGTATATCTATCCACCTCTGTCTTGACACTGTGCATGCCATGTGGAGTAGTTCAAAGGTCAAACTACATAGACTGCATCCAGTCACCAACAATGCATTGAATTTGTTCTAGTAACCAAGATATCCTTTCCCCCCATCCCCTCTTCAGTTTCTTGCACATCATTCATTCTAATAACCAAGAGATCCTTTCTCCCCCACCCCCTCCTCACTTTCTTTAGTGGCAGAGTTTGTTCACAAGTTGTCGTCAGTGGAGGACCAACACGCTCAGCAGCTCAACAACCTGGCCAGAAACTTCCGAAGAAAGACTCAGGAAACCTTCCGGAAAGATCCGTGAGTTGAGCTTTACAACTGTACTACGTAGCTATATCTTTTAATTGGGAAGTGAAGCGAACCCTCATAGTCGTCAGAATGTCGGATTTTTCTGTACATGCCTTTATAAACTCGTGATGCGAGAGAGAGAAGTTGCGGTGTGCTCTGCTGATGAGGGCCAACAAGCCCGAAACAGCTGTCCAGAGCTCCCCATCTTTTTTCTCTTGGCATCAACATGGTATTTTCTTCATGTATATAGTATGTGATGGGCACTGCATATACCGTAATGTTGTGCATGATTCTAAATGCATGTGAGTGATCACGAAAAATTGGAACTGATTGCGCTCGCTCGCCAAAAATATTCTAGTATAATGTCCCGTACAAACAAGCAAAATGCTACATGGTCGTGGTTAGTCGATGTTAGAGTTTTTCACGCAACAGTGTCATGGAAATTGGCTTGTTGGCAGGGAGTCTGTGTCTGTACTGTCTGCTCAGGAACCACACATGGTTTACATATGTAGCTACACTCCCTGATTGGAGGGAGGTCATTTCCGGATTGCGGGAGGTCATTTCCTGATTGTGGGAGGTCATTTCCTGATTGCAGGGAGATCGTTCGTTGTCCGGTGAACACTGTGCAAATGGAAAACATACGCGGGAGTAAACATTTGACAATTCGGTAGCAAATAGGAATTTCGCAGAGAAAACTTTTGGGATTTGCTTGTTCAGTTGTGTAAACATTCCCCTTGCCTAAAACATTTCACAGAGATAGTATTTGCAGATGCTAGCTCGCCTGTAAACATTATTGTCCTCTCCCTCATAAAACGTATATTATTATACCCTCCATACGGTAATACACCGTCTACATACTATGACGAATTTGTTTGGGAAAGGCAAGCCAATAGGAAAGCTATTTTTCCAGAGGTAGTGTATATATATATATATACAGTGGGACCTCCGAATAATGAAAATATTGGGACAGCAATTGGGTTGAGAGGTGTATGTGTATGCATTAGTAAAGTCAGTTGGTGCAAGGGAATAACGTCGTTATAGAGAGGTTTTCACTGTTGGGGGGAGTTCATATCGGAGGTCCCGCTGTATTGTATAACCCACGACACTCTGCAGTCTAGGCAGAGTCCTCTACTCACTGAGGTAGGAGGACAGATAAACAGGCACGACTCAGACAAAGACATGCCTGAAATAACTCTGTGCAGAGCGCTGTCACTTAGTACAAGTCCATCTGTGTTGTGGTCCACCATGTAGAGGCTACTGCGGCAGTGGTAGGGAGGGGTAGAGTGGTTAATTACTGGTCCTATTGCGGCAGTGGTAGGGAGGGGTAGAGTGGTGAATTACTGGTCCTATTGCGGCAGTGGTAGGGAGGGGTAGAGTGGTGAATTACTGGTCCTATTGCGGCAGTGGTAGGGAGGGGTAGAGTGGTGAATTACTGTCCTATGTCGGCAGTAGTCAGGGAGGGGTAAGTGGTGACTTACTGTCTATTGCGTAGCAGTGGTAGGGAGGGGTAGAGTGGTGAATTACTGGTCCTATTGTAGCAGTGGTAGGGAGGAGGGGTAAGTGGTATTCTGGTCCTCTATTGCAGCAGTGGTAGGGAGGGTAGAAGTGTGATTACGGTCTCTATGCGGCAGTGGTAGGGAGGGGTCAGAGATGGTGAATATGCTGTGCCTAGTGGCGGCAGTGGTAGGGAGGGGTAGAGTGGTGAATTACTGGCGCTATTGCGGCAGTGGTAGGAGGGGTAGAGTGGTGATTACTGTCCTATTGCAGCAGTGTGGGAGGGGTAGAGTGGTGAATTACTGGTCCTATTGCGGCAGTGGTAGGGAGGGGTAGAGTGGTGAATTACTAGTCTTATGTCGTGCATGCTTTGTAGGAATCAAGCCACTCTCTGACTGTACATATGTATGTGTGACGTACATGTGTGTGGCGTGTATGTTACAGGAGCTGGTGCACCCAGGTCCTGCGTCTTTCTTTCTGTTTATATGTTATTGTCTGTGTTTTATGTGCTTGGGTATGTTATTGTCTGTGTTTTATGTGCTTGGGTATGTTATTGTCTGTGTTTTATGTGCTTGGGTATGTTATTGTCTGTGTTTTATGTGCTGTGTGAGTCTGTATGGTCTTTTTTCTTTTTATTTTCTTTTGGTCTGTGTATGTAATGTGCTGGTATGTATTGGTCTGTGTGTTATGTGCGTGGTATGTGAGTTGCCTGTGTTTTATGTGCTTGGGTATGTTATTGTCTGTGTTTTGTGTGCTTGGGTGGGGGAGGTTTTTATTTTCCTCTCTTTTAGCTAGTATGCTATAAACATGTTTTTTCATGTACCTAAGTATGCAGGTCTATTAGCAGTGGGTAGGTATACTCCGTTTGTGTATGTACATATGTCACAGTGTATAGGTCTAGGTATACATGTATAATGGGATTTAGTAGGTCTATATATGACAGTACTGTACTCTGTTAGTACTGTATGTATATCTCACAATGGCCGAGTATAATAATATGGCAAATGGTACTCAGCAAGTGTATGTATGTGTACTTAACACAATATTGTGTATATGTCACAATGTGTGTGCACATTAGGTCTATCGCAGTCGGTACTCAGTTCTCATCGTGGGAAGCTATGTTGAAGGACACAGAGGAGGAGGCAAAGGTAATTGAGAGAAAATCTGTATTGGCAGCCCTCCCTCTCTCCCTCCTCTCTCCCTCATCCTCGTTCGGTGCCCCCTTTTAATTCCCACTTATCTCTCCCCCTCCTTCCTTATCTCTCCCCCTCCTCTCTCTCTCTCCCTCTCTTCTCCCCTCTCTCATCCTCTCCCTCTCTCCTTCCCTCCCTCACTCTCCTTCTCCCTCTCTCTCTCTCCCTTCCCTTACTCTCTTTCTCCCTCTCTCTCCCTTCCCTTACTTCCTCTCTCCCCTCTCTCCCTCCCTCTCTCCTCCCCTCCCTCACTCTCCTCTCTCTCTCTCTCTCCCTTCCCTTACTCCCTCTCTCCTCTCCCCCTCTTCACTGCAGTTATCCACTGAGTTATCTAGGAACCTGGTACAAGGTATAGCTGCACAAATTCAGGAGCTCACTTCACGGAAGAAAATGCTACTGAAGAAGGTTATACTGAGAACAAAGTCCCAACCTGTGTTTTACTTTCGGCCCCGCTCCATCATTTTACCATTCCCAATCCATCATCCCTCCACTACTCCATTCCCCCATCCTCTCGTTCCAACATTCTACCATTCCCTCATTCCTCTATCCCCTCATTCCGTTATTGCCCCATTTATCAATTTCTTATCCCCATTCCCTCATTCCTACATTCCCCATTCCCTTTTCTATAATTCTCCATTCCTCCATTCCCTCATTCCTGATTCCTAATTCTCCATTCCTCTATTCTCTCATTCCTACATTCCCCCATTCCCCCATTCCCCCGTTCCCATATTCTTCTTTTCTCCTATGCTCCATTCCTCCATTCTCTCATTCCTCTGTTCTTCTGTTCCCCAATTCCTCCATTCCTCCATTCCTCCATTCCCCCCCTCCCCCGTACAGTGGTTCCTATTCAGGGAGACATACATGTGTCGTATCGACAAGACGGAGGACAAGGTGAACAAGGTGTTCAGAGAGTACCAGGACAACTGGAACAAGTACGCAGAGTCTCTCGAGAAAGACGCTGCCAACGTTAAGGTCAGTAGGAGATTCAATACATACATAACTACAATACCTTGGGCACCAACTTTACCTGAGGCACCTTCACTCCAAGCACAATCTTAACCTTTGTCACAATCATTCTGGGCACCATCTTTACCTTTGACAAAATCCTCAAAATTCAGACTCAAAATCCACCTCTTGCTAACCGCACACACACACACACTCTCTAAGGTTTTGTGTATCACTGCCACATCTTCTCAAGCCCCTACTAGTGTTGTACATATCCAGACCCAACCCCGAGAGGACTGCCGAGATAGATTTCCTGATTGTGCGTAGGCATTATCGTGGTAGAGTTCACGTATATATATTATATCAGCAGATACTTTGAATCATTGCTGTCTCATAGTAAAGACAGCACACCCAAGAATAGCCACCAGAACGTTGTCCTCTCCCTAGTGTGCCTGCACTTTCCATCTGTCCACGTATCCGTTCCCTTCCCTTCCCTCCCCCCCTCTCCCCCACTAACAGGAGATGGTGGTGCTCCACAGTTACAACTCACACAACGAGTATATTCTCCAAAAGACGTCTTTCAATTCCCTCCACGATGAGTTCTATGGCCGCCAGGTATGTAGTCTCTCTCGTCCAACTCTCTTTCTTCTCTCTTCGATGATGTTGATACTCTTTCTACATACTCATTCCTCCCATCTACCTACCTACCTATCTATCTGTATAGGTGTACGACATGCTGGACGAACTGCAGGCAATACATGAGGATCTGGTGAAAGGTCTGAAGACCAGTATGCACAAGTGTGGCGAGATGATGAGAACAAAGGTAGTTCACATTTCTCTTACACCTTTCGCTGAATATCTAGAAACGTTTCTACTGAAAACCTTTTTCTTTGTTTTTCGACACATGCATGGAATAATGGTTCGGTAATACTCATGTATATACGTAGGTATCAGATACACATCCTGAAACTCTTTCTAAACTTTTTTCGCTGCTTGGGGTTGTTACGAGCTATGTTTTGAGTATCTGGGAGTTCAGTGATAACACAGTCCCAGTCTCAGATTGGACTGCAGTCGGCTGTAGTGTTTTACTTGCCGTGGCTTGAGTGGTTGTTGTTGTGTTGTGTTTTGCAGGCCCAGAAGACGTGTTCTCACCTGACCTCTTTCGTGGAGACAGTCTCGAGGGTCAACGCCAGTGAAGACACATCTGAACTGGTCAATAGGTGAGGGAGGGAGGGAGGGAGGAAGAGGAGAGGGAGGGAGGAAGAATGGAGGAGAGGGAGGGAGATAGAGGAGAGGGAGGGAGGGAGGGAGGGAGGAAGAGGAGAGGGAGGGAGGAAGAATGGAGGAGAGGAGGGAGGGAGGGAGGGAGGAAGAGGGGAGGGAGGGGAGATAGAGGAGGAAGAATGGAGGAGAGGGAGTTTGAAAGAGTAATTAGACTTGCAGATCACTAGAATGGAAGTCCCAAGGTGATGGGCAGTGCAGGGAAGCAGTTTGTCTGCAGTCAAACCTGTTTTGTTGCACTGTGCAATAAAGCTGGACTGATTTGGGAGTTAAGGTTACTTGGTGCTCTCCTATTCCACAGACAAGACCTGATAGACAAGGCCTATCCTCCTCCCCCATGCAAGTTCAGACCTCCTGACCTGCCTCCTCCCAAACTACCTGACTCCCCTCCTGTGGACCTGGTAAAACCTCTCTCACCCATTTCACTATCTGACTTGTTTTCCCCCCTCACTCTATCGCTCGTTGTTTACTCAAGTTCCTCCCTCAACACTCTCTCATTTAAATAAGAAACCCATATCATAATGTATCGGGAATGTGCCGGAAATTTCCTAAATGTGCAGGAAGGTTTTCGGTAAAGTGACATGGGTTTCTACCCTCACTTAAAAAACAAGTTTTCTTGCGTTCCTCACTCGTGGCATTCTGATAATGTTTTACCCTTCCTTGCCTATTGACCAATTCAGAGGTATCTTCACTAGCCATTGTCAATCATGCCTTTATGATCATTTAATCAAGGAGTTCTTCCTCCCTTGTGCGAAAATGTGTCACGTTGCTTCAGTATGAGCTGTAGCAGTGATTGGTATAATAATACAACAAAGTTTCACTTGCAAAACAAAATTGAAACTACTCCAGCACCGAAAAGACTATAGTTTTCTCTTCCCTCTCTCTCCCTCCCTTTCTTTCTCCCTCCCTCCTCCCTCCCTCCCTCCCTCCCTCCTTTCCCTCTCTCTCTCCCCTCTTTCTCCCTCCTTCCCTCTCTCTCCCTCCATCCCTCCCTCCATATTATCTCTCCCTCCTCCTCTCCCCCCCTCACCAGCCTTCCCTGCCAGACCAGCTATCCCTCAATGACCTGACGCAGTCTCCACTCGGCCACTCCCGAGAGGCCATCAAACAGACTGAGTTTGCAGTCAGTGGAGCTCTGGAGAGACTACATAAGGAGTACCAGTCCGTCAAATCTCTGCTCGACAGGTTGGCTTGCTTACCGGGGGAGGTGTCCTGATTAGTGAGGTGTCCCGATGAGTGGGTTGTGTCCTGATGAGTGGGGTGTGTCCTGATTAGTGAGGTATCCCGATGAATGGGGTGTGTCCTGATGAGTGGAAGTGTCCTGATCACATTGTAACTGCATAGTGAGGTGTCCTGATCACGCAACTTTTTATAATAGTGACGTGTGTTGATGAGGGTGTCCTGATTAGTGAGGTGTTCTGACTTGTCAGGTGAGGTGTCCTGATTTGTCAGGTGCCCTGTTTAGTGATTGGTGAGGGGTTCTGATTGGCGAGGGGTCCTGATTGGCGAGGGGTCCTGATTTTTAAGATTTCCTGGTTGGTGAGGTGTCTTGGTTTAGGTGCTGTCCAGAATAGTGGGCTGATATTACCGTATGTTGAAGGTCATGCAGTGATGTTTTTCTGTCTGACTGCAGTTACCGTGACAACCCGACACTGGGAGATCCAAACACTCTAATTGAAGAGCTCCTGGAGATGAGGAACAAGATTAGGGTCAAAGAGGCGGAGCTTGTCATGATTAGGGCAAAGGTCACTACAATAACCTGCTGTAAAATGTATTATCTTTCGCTACAGTTTTACAATGATATAATATCTCTATCACCCCCTCTCCTCCCCTCCCCCCTCTCCTTCCCTCCCTCTGCATCCCATCTTCTCCCTCCATCCCTCCACAGCTGAACATGTTCATGTCGTTAGTGGAAGCTGCACCCCCTGAAATGTCATTCCAGCTGTCTTCCCCCATCCCTCCCCCCAGCGGACACCCTCGCAAGTTGGCCGCGGGGCTGGTCAGTGGGAGGGACCACGACTTTGTGGAGAGTGAGAAGAGGAGACCGGCCCTGTGTGCCTACTGTGGAGGAATGATACAACGTGAGGAGGGGGGAGGATGAGAGGGAGGAGAGGGAGGGAGGGAGGGAGGATGAGAGGGAGGGAGGGTATAAGAGAGGGAGGGGAGGCGAGTGGAGCGAGGAATAGAGAGGGAGGAGAGGAGGGAGGAGGGATAAGAGAGGGAGGAGAGGTAGGGAGGGAGGGAATAAGAGAGGGAGGAGAGGGAGGTAGGGAATAAGAGAGGGAGGAGAGGGCGGTAGGGAGGGAGGGAATAAGAGAGGGAGGAGAGGGAGGGAATAAGAGAGGGAGGAGAGGGAGGGAGGGAGGGGTGTACTGTGCATATTGCGAGCAAAGTCAGCCTACTTGGTAGTTTGAACTGCCAAGATTTTTCTCCATAAAGTGCTGCCCCCACTTGCAAAGCTGCTGATGATAACCAATATTGTCGCATTCGTTCTAGCACATACATACACACTTTGCCTCGATAGACCTCATAGAATGGCCAGAAATGGTCTGGGTAGCAAGTGACATACCTATTTTGGATGCGAGGCAAGGAAATGTCCCCATAATGAAATGAAGCCCTGATTCTTTGTATCAGCTTACAACTACCTCCTCCCTCTCCTGTTCCCTCCCTCCCCTCCCTCCCCTCCCCTCCCCCAGCCCCCATATCAAAGGGGGTAAAGTGCAGGAGCTGTAAGATGAACCTCCACCATCGCTGTCAGAACTCTGTTCCATACTGCCACGGGACTCCGCCCACCAAACCTGCCTCTAAATCTGCTGCAAAAGCCGGTACATTATACTGTGTTTCTAGTGGCAAAGTACACTTGCTTTGTGGCCAATATTCTCGTACCTTTTTGGTCCTTCCCCCCCCCCCCACACACACACACACTCTCTCATTCCTTCACTCCCTCCCCTCTTATCCCTACCACTCCTCCCCTCCCTCCCCTCTTATCCATACCACTCCTTCCCTCCACCCCCTCCCTGCTTAATCCATACGACTCACGTTCCCTCCACTCCCCTCCCTGCTCTCTCCTCACTCCTTCCCTCCATCCTCTTCCCTCTTATCCCTACACTCCTTCCTTCCTCCCTCCCCTCTTATCCCTACCACTCCTTCCCTCCCTCCCCTCCCCTCTTTATCCCTACCACTCCTTCCCTCCCTCCCCTCCCCTCTATATCCCTGCCACTCCTTCCCTCCCTCCCTCCCTCCCTCCCCTCCCTCTCCTCCTCCCACCTCTCCCCGCACAGTATCCAAGAGAATCTCACAGATCCTGACCAGGAAATCCAGCGCCGATCCCCATGACACTGCCTCCAACGGCTCCTTTGATGGTCAGCTAGTCACACACACACACTAAACCCTTTGAGGGAGATATTTTTTGAGAGCCATCTGTAAAATGTCGCGTGAGCAGAGTCCCTTTTGTACAGTCTCTCCATGAAATTTTTGTGATAGTAAAAATTTTCCCTCAAAAGTATCCCGCTTAAGTACTGTACGTATGTATAATGTGCTTGCAGGGTGTGTCTCTCTCTGTTGCTCTATAGTTCATGTGAGTGGTATCAGTTTACACACACATCCATATCTAGTAGCAAGGACTAGACAAGGACAAGGCATGCTGGCTAAGCCATTTACAGTGTGGACTGTACAGTTTACTAGGTACTAGACAGGCTAATGTCATTGTGTGTGTGTCTATGTTAGGTGGTCAGTTCAATGGCGCTGTTGGAGAGAAAGTGGCAATAGGGTGTGTCAACATGTGACAAACATAGGCTCTCGTCCATCAGCCTCAACTGCTTTATAGAGCTGCTTCACGTGAAGTATAATACATTTTAGTCAGTTTACTCGTTAGCCAGAGTGAAGCTGTCTAGTTGAGTGGGGCAAACATAGTGTTTTAAACGTAGCAGCAGTTTGAGTGTAGTTTAGCTGTAAGAATCAGCCAATTCTTCAGCAGGTATAAGTTAGGGCTAACTTGTGCATAGTTTTGGGTTAACTTGTACATAGTTTGGTGTAGTTCAGCTGGTGGCATAGTGTTGAGCTGGTATATAACGATATTTTGACGGTCAAAGAAGACAATGTTCAGAAAGTTTGTTCGCAATCTCTCAAGACAAAAAACAACAGATCAAAAAGGTCTGTTTGTTGTGTATCTCTCTGCTTTGCCTATCTGGGAAAATGGCGTCCTGATAAATCAGAAATATTAGTGGCTAATAACGATTTTGCCTGAGATGTGCCAGTTTGGTACAAAGCAGCTACACCAGCATCCCAGTGTTCCTGGTTTACGGTGGCATTGCATGTGTTGTCTATCCCTGGATCCCTGCAGATGAGGAGGGAGACGGAGTGTATGAACCTCCTCCGCCTCCTCTGCCTCGCGGCAGCAGTGACAAGAGGACCGCCTCTCTCTCCCCTGCTCCCGAACGTCAGTTCTCTCTCCTTCCTCTCCTTCTCCCTCTCCCTCCTTCCTCTCCCCCTCCTTCCTCTCCTTCTCCCTCTCCTTCTCCCCTCTCCTTCTCCCCCTCCCCCTCCTTCCCTCATCCTCTCTCTCTTCTCTGCCCTCCCTCCCTCTCCTCTCTCTAACCAGTAAACTTTTGAATGGAATTCAGAATAAGTTGAAGATTGCTCGTCAAACAATAGAAATTCCCACACCGGATTGGGCAGACCGCAAAAAATATTTCCCGTTCCAAAGTTTCCTGCTATATACAGTCTGTCCTCGTTTTACTCCATTTTCTCCCCACAGCTCCTCCCCGAGGAGAATCCCTGGACCCTGAGAACTATGTGAGTTCTTAGATTATCATGTGATGTCATGTGACCCCATCGTGTGATGTCATGTGACCTCATCATGTGATGTCATGTGACCTCCTCTGTTGTGCATGCGGGACCTCATGTAGTGTCTTGTGACCTCGTCTTGCTTATGACATCATCATGTATAATGCCTTGCACCATGTCATGTGACCTCTTTGCAGGCGAGACTGGATGCAGTTCAGATACACAACAGTTTCGAGGACACTCTGGAACTGGGGGACTCAAGTAGCTACTGCGTGGCTCTCTTTGAGTATGCCTGTGTCAACCCCAATGACCTACACCTTCAGTGAGTGTACCGTACCAAGATGGTAGCGGGCAACTTTCGTCAATAACTTTCGCGAATTTCGTGAGCCATTCTTTAAGTCGTGTCTCCCTCTACGAGTATGCCTGTGTCAACCCCAATGGCTAGCTACACCTCTACAGTCAGTATAACTATACCATGATATACAGTGGAGTCTCATTTATAAAGAACACACTTAGTACGATGGGGCTGTGCATGAAATAAGTAAGCCATACATACTTGGATAGACTTTCCACTAGTAGACATGAATGCCATTCTGTCCACTCCTGCAGGCCAGGGGATGTGATAGAGCTGATTAATACCAGCAGTTCCGACTGGTGGAAGGTTAGTTCCCGGGACGCGAGGCAAGGGAAGGCGCAGGCCGGAGAGAAACCCAGTAACCGGGATATGAACGAAGGAGCGCGATAGCCGGACAGCAGCAGACGAGACCGAGAGAGAGCACGAAGGAGTGACGACCCGCAAGAGAAGAGAAAGAAACAGACGAGAAAGCGGAGAACGAAGAGGAAACGAAGAAGGAGAAATGAGAGATAGATAGGAGCACGACACAGACTGTTATTCTCAGCTTCTTACCATGCCTCATCGCTCTTCATCATTTCTTTTAAAGAACGATCCTAAAGAACTCTGCAAACAATCTGCCACCTCACACCTTCTTCCTCTCCCTTCCTCCCTCTATTCGCAGGGGTCATGTAGAGCGAGGGTTGGATATTTTCCAGCGACATACGTGCAGGCAGTATCGACTGGCAACCAGATATTCATGTCTCAGTTTGACTTTGCAGCTGAAGGCCAAGGAGAGCTGCCTCTTCTTGAAGGACAGGTAAGGAAGGGGGGAAGAAGAGCTCGAGGGAGAGGGAGGGTGAGGGTGAGGAAGAGAAGATACCGTAAGGAAGTGAGGGAGAGAGAGGGAGGAGAGGGTTAGTAAGGTAAGGAGGGATGGAGGAATGGAATAATGATATAGACGCAGACAGGATCAGAATGTGCAGGGGCCACGTTCTCTCTAAACAGTCAAACGACGAAAGAAGTCACTGGAAAGGGTCGGGAGTTCGTAGCAGAGTTTCCCATCTCAGAGTGTGCGGTGTTTGTTGGACATGGTGTGGACAAAGTTTCCCTCTAACTCCCTAAGCCTCCTGGAAATAGCTGAAATAAAGGGAGGGAGGGAGGAAAAGGGTGGGGATTTTGCAGAGGCAGGGAGAAAGGTGTTGGGGGGAGAGTAGTGTTGTGCAGGGAAGGTATTGAGATTGACCGTTGCACTCCCTCCAGATTGTGGTGATGCTCAGAGACAACCAGGACGGCTGGCTCTACGGTCGCTCCGGGACAGAAGAAGGTCTGTTCCCCTGGCAACTACACCAAGAGACTCACAACTGTCTAGTTCTATTTCATGCCCACCCCTCATTACACCCTCTCGTAATCGTTCTAACATCAAGTTTTGTACTGCATATAACAAACCAGTTGGCATTTTCCAGTACACTTTTTATTTAGAGTTGAAACATTTTTTCATGATTGTCACTGATTATTATTATGATTGAATGGTGTTGTACAATAAATACTTATCATGTTTGGATCTAACAATAATCGGTGCAAAGAAAACCCTAACGTTTCGTTCTGACTTTCTTTCGTTTCTTCTTTCTTTGCTTCTCAATTTCCACATCTCCGCATTGATTAAGTCTCCCCCTCCTGACCACACCCACCAGCTCCCAGACCGTGCCTACCTACGTCTTCCAGACCACACCCACTATCGGCAGTGTAGTTAGTGAGTTTAGTGGCAAAGTATTCTTGTACTGTTGCGGTTTGTGTGATGGTAGCAACCCCATGGCTTATTACGGGAAGACTCTCTTTTGTCAACTGCTGAAATAGAGGAGCAGGGGCAATGGAAATGACTGTCACATCTCATGAGTACAAAACTATTCTAGTGACGCAACACACTGTCTATTTTGACAAGTGGATATACAGTGGAACCTCTGATAAGGGACCCTCTGAGATAGGGACGACCTCTCTATATACAAAGGACACTTGTTTCAACCCCATGCCAATACTTTAGTATATTATTTGACCTCCGAGATATGGACAGCCTCTTTACAAGGGACAAAATCGTTGGCCCCATAGTGTCCCTTGTTTGGAGGTTCGACTGTATAGGTACAAGTTGAAGCATTCACAATAAGAGCGAGAACATACTTGAGACACATGACTGTAGCAATCACTGTCACACCAAGAAGTGATTACTACTTCCCAAAAGTGTGTGCGTTTATCACAGCTAGTGGTATATAGAAAACTAAAATTAATATGAGTGAGTGGTGGTTGTAAGTAAACATGAACAGCCTATATACCTCATTTTCTGACGTTCCTTCTGTCTTGGTTCTCTTGGTCCTTTCTTTCTTCTCCTCCTCTTCCCCCTCTTCCTCCTCCTCTTCCCCTCCACCTCTCTCTCCCCTCTCCCTCTTCCTCTCTCTCCTCTCCTTCCTCCCTCTTCTACCAAACACGCAGTCAAGGTCTTTACTGCTGGCTGAGGACAGATCCTTACTTCGCAATGCCTTCTTATACCTGTGCACAGTCAAAGACAGAGTCACTATTAGACAAGGACTACCAAGCCATACCACAGAGCCAGATCAACAGAATGATGTCACATTGCGTCACAACGTAAATTAGAAACATACAGTCTTTCAGTGGCAACCTCCAAAGTACAGCTATTGCTCTGTATACAGTGGAACCTCTGAATAATGGACGCGTTGGGACCAGTCATTTTGTTCTTTACTGGGAGGTTGTCCTCTCTTTGGAGCCTAATAATGTACGTTTGACAGTTCAAAGTGTGTCCTTCAGTGAGAGATTTTTCCATTGTGTCCTTTATCATAGCTAGAGTTCTGGAGTAGATATTGCCCCCACCCACAATTTTGCACAGACGACTCTCAAACCTAACGATATTTATGTATGCTGAACAGTAATTTGATGGACAGCTGTAGTGTATGTAACAATATCGGCTCAATGTGTGCATATATAGTGCGACTCACAGTGCTCTCCCACTGTTGATAGCACTGGTCACTAGAGACTTTGCTCCCTGGTTCTCTGATCCAACATCTGGCAACAAAAACAACAGAAAAGAGTAACGGAAAAGTGAAACTTTGGGCTTCAAAGTGTGTCCTTCACTGAGTTAAATTGCTTGGAGTGTCCTTATCGGAGGTTCAGCATCTGGTCTTGGTGCTAGTATAAAGCCATGCCTACCGTTGTCTTTCTTGGCATTGAGGCTGGCCAGGAGCTGGTCGAAGGACTCCTGATGCTCTATCCACTCCTCATCACGACCTCTGACATAACCCACACCTGGAATAGTGATATGTTATACTGATGTAAATAGTAGCTTCTATTCCTATGAACCCAGGTAGACTCTAAAATTCACGTTTAGTTTAAAACTTCATTAGCTGCCTCTCGTGGTCTTGGTTGGGTAATGGACAGTGGTATGAGGCAAAGAGGGCTAACCGCAAAGCACATTCTCAACTAAGATGAATATATAAGTTCTTAGCGATGAAAATGGAACTGACAGGTGTCTTCAAAACTCCTGAAACTTTTACAAACTTGTCCATTAGCCGGAACCTTTCAAATGAGAAATCTTTCTCACGAATTTAACACCCAAATGCCTTCACCAAATTTATAGGTAGAGATTCCGTCACCCCCGAATTCAAGTGTGCTTATGTAGTACAAAAGGTCCCCCCCCCCCCTTTGAAAAGTTTCCGACTATACGGTTAGAACTGCAATGTGAGGTGTTATTGCTAGCCAGACATCCCAGACCAGATGAGATTTCTCATTACAAGGTGTTACATAACACAAACCTGATGTGTCGGATCTTTTCGACACCTTCACGTGTTCAGTCTTCCCGGCTAGATCTTTTCCCAGTCCCTTACCCTCGCTCCAACCCATCCGCTCCAGCATCCGGTACCCGAACCTGCTCCGGTCTGGAGAGAAAGACGGAATCAAGGGGGATGTCGATATAACATTGCGAAAGACTCAAACCTTCACTCCATCTACTGTTGCGCGGGTCTTCACTCCACTTCTGTTTGTATTTCTTCTCCGCAAGCATAGCTAGCCAGCCCGGCCTGCCCGAGCAACACGCGGGGGTCTCGGCAAGGGGGCGTGCCTTCGTACAGTGCGCGTGCGCATGCGCATGCGTAGTACTCGCGTCGGATGTGTGCTTGTGCGTGCACAGCACTGAGTCGGGACTGAGTGCATGAAGACAATGGCTGCAGAACGGCGAAGAGCAGGCGGTAATCGCGACATTTCCATACCGCTCAACGGTCGATACGGTTTCCAGAAAGTTCTCATCCATCTCTCAGAAGACTCGGAGCTCGGAAGAGGGTCCTACGGCAGTGTCGTCAAGGCCGAGCTCGACGACCTTCCGTGCGCGGCGAAAATCCTCCACCAAACTTTCTTCAGCTCCAACGATCCCGCAGCTAGAGAATTCGCCGCTAAATTCGTGCAAGAGTCCCAGATAATGCGCGGTCTCAACCACCCCAATATCGTCCGTTTCCTTGGTTCGGTGCAGGATCCCGTCTCAGGCAGGCTGGTTCTTCTCATGGAGATGATGAAGGAAAGTCTGACGCATTTCCTCGAGCTATCGACTACCTGCCTTTCTTACCTCGTCCAAGTCAATATCTCCCACGACATAGCACTGGCTGTTGCTTACCTGCACACAAAACGAATCCTCCATCGAGACCTGTCCAGCAACAATGTCCTCCTGAATCCCGGCTTCCAGGCTAAGGTGACCGACTTTGGTATGTCACAAATAGCAGATTCGAATCACTCCATGACACGCAGTAAAGTAACGCAATGCCCAGGAACACTTGCCTACATGCCGCCAGAGGCCCTATTGTCAAAGCCACGTTATTCCGAAAAGCTCGACAGTTTTTCAATGGGAGTCTTGATGATCCAAACCATCACACGCAAGTTCCCTGCCCCACTGAGGCACATATCACTCGTGAAGATCCAGAATCTCCGACAGGAGTAATCATTGTCCCAGTTTCAGAATTACAACGCCGCAAGGCTGACATGAGGGACATTCCTATTTCCCATCCCCTATTGTCCATTGCCACAAGTTGCCTGAAGGACAAGTACCAGGAGCGACCTAATGCCAGCCGAATTTGCCAGAGCCTTGCAGAGCTGAAGGCCACAGTGACGTACAAGGTCAGCACCACAAATCCTGGTCTTTTTGCTATATTATTATCATTAGGCCTATAATAATTATACTTAGATCACACCAACTTAGAGATTCCGTGCCTTTGGTTACAGTATGTCATGAGAATATAGTGGTAATTGAAATGTGATAAGTGGGTTTGAATGGCGTCAAGCGCAATGTGATGTTACACATTTTTGCATTTGGCTATAATACTATACTACAGGATACAAGGCCTGGTGAGGAGATTACTGATGAGAAATCTAACATTACTGGTGTAGCTCAGCCACAAAATGCTGGAAAAGAAATTTCGGTATGCATAATTATATACAATGTTGGAGATTGTAGGGCTGTTTTAGGCACATTTTTAATGTGCAGGTAGGAAGAACTGACCTACATGATGCTGCTGAGAGAGGAGATGTGGAGGCAGTAAGTTGGCTGCTTGCCACTCCTGTTGACATTAACTCCAGAACTGAGGTCAGTAGAGTTAAGCTATTTTAACAAAATGAAGAATCCCTTTTTGCAGGAAGGTGAGAGTGCTCTATCTCTAGCCTCACGCAGAGGTCATGAAGAAGTCGTAGGCCTTTTAATTGAAGCAAATGCACTCATCAACATTCAAGATAATGTGAGGTGGACCAACACTTTGTCGCCTAAAACACTCTTTACTAATGCAGGATGGACGGTCTCCTCTCTACTGGGAATCACTGAAGGGTCACGTTGCAATAGTAAGACTCCTTATATGGAGGAGAGCTGATATTAATCCATGTGACAAGGTACATAATTATAATAGTTCATCCTTATTATCGTACATCATTGCTTGTTCAAAATTTGTTCAGTCCAGTGCTTGTAGCTAACAAAGTGAGCCTACCTACCTAGTCGTCTGAATTGGGTGGATTTCCATACGTATATATACATATCTGATGATGACACAGTCCTACATAATAATGCTTTACATAACTCTTCATAGACAAAATGGACTTTTACTATCGTGATTTGTTATGCATGACTTTCGGCACCAAATGCGTTGCATCCAGTCTAGTTTGCCGCAGAAGACTACAGACTGTGTATATAAGTCTGTAGTACATATTATATCCTACACCAGTGAGTAAATGGTAGGAAATGTAGATATCAGCAATCCTTCTTTGTGGGGGATAGGTATGGATCACAAACATGATTTTGCTGACTTTGAATAACCACTTACATATACAACAGCATGCAAATAGTAAGCTAACAATAACTTACTGTTACCTTCACAGCACTTTTTTTAACTGTTTCCGTCTCTCCTCAGGATGATGATACTCCTCTGGGTATAGCAGCACAGAATGGACACATTGAGACTGTTTTGACACTTCTGAATGCAGGAGCAAATATTGACCATCAGAACAAGGTGATGGTTAAACAGAAAGTTTAAGTTTACTCAATGATAATACACAGGCTGGTTTAACTCCAATCAACTTGGCCACACGTTGTTGTGAAGTGGAAGTGGTAAGGCTACTGATAGAGAGAAAGGCCAATGTTAACATTTGCTGTAAGGTACGTGTGGTAACAACAAATATCTAGAATGACTCTGCCAATATAATTCACTGCACAGGCTGGTACCAGTCCATTATATACTGCCAGCCAAAATGGCTACACACATATAGAGGATCTGCTCCGCAGAGCAGGAGCAAACATCCAAACCGTCAAAGCTGATGATGTAAGGAGGATGGCATCATGTTGTTTCTCTGCGCACAACCATGCCTTATTTCTTAATTCAAGATCTTGTAAGAAATAATTTGCTTTTTTAAGACCAGCTCTTATTGGGGGATTCATGCCAATATTACTTGCGTTCATTTTGCCACGGCAAAACAACATGCGAGGGCATTACCGTGCCCAAATCCGGGCTGGGACACATCCCATGGCAAATACCGCTAACCAGGACACTTTCATCATGCCCCAATTTTTATTTGCAAATTACTTAGCGTTTAGGTTTCGCTACCGTTTATGGCATGCTTCCGTAGATACATAAACAGCAACAAAATCGGTGGAGGTAAGCGAATACTAATTAGCATATTGGCTTGTTAACTTGGTTTTCACGCCATAACTGTCGAATGCATTGCTTTTACGAAAATCGCCAAATTTAAAATCAAGCCGGTGTAGCGCTGAACCTTTTGGTGTCACTCTTTCATTGTCTCATTGCACGTGGTTGCAGAAAACGTGGTAACAGACAGACAGACAGACAAACTTACGGACCAAGTACTGTAACCCTCACTGCACATGAAGGTATTAGACCATGTGATGCCAAGAGAAAAAAGATGCGGAGCTCTGGACAGCTGTTTCAGGGATTGTTGGCCCTCATCAGCAGAGCATACCGTAACGTCTCTCTCTGGCATCACGAGTTTATAAATGCTACCAGGAGCGCAGCGCTTGTGGTTCTGAACTAATGAGATTCATCCCCACAAGGCTTTGCCACTGACCATCAGCACGCCGAGAGTTAACTAGGCTCTGTAACCAAACTCCCACTGTTTAACAGTTACAGTCTCAGAATTATGTGGGGAACGGGTGGATTAAATTCGGTATTTTGCCTACTAGGGAGATAAGACAGACAACTAGCTATTACTGTCTCTCAACTGTTGGTCTGCCAATTACTCTGGGTGTGTGGTCTATGGCCCCAGTGCTACAACTGCCAATTATCCTCTGTCCAGCATGGCCACAGCCCTACTGTTTGAAGCTACCTTGGAAGGAAATAAAGATATGGTGGACCGACTGGTTGATGCAGGAGCTGACACTAATGTGGCCACCACTAAGGTAGCCATACTTAGACCATAGGCTGCAAAAAGGCGATCTTCGTACATTATAGCATGGGCTTACCTTGACCGCATTCCGCCTGTGTTTTGTGTAGACCATTGTAGAGGTATCAGATGTTACAACAGGGTGAGAGCGCAATGCCTTAAATTAAATACTACAGTTGCAGGTTGCAGACTCACATTTTAGCAGGCATAACAATGTAGCCACGTCCTATTGATGTGCACGCTTAGTGATCCGAGGGTTTGCACTTTAGTTTTTTACATTATGCAGAGTGGCTATGTTCCTCTGGGGTTGGCTGCTCAAAACGGACACGCAGCAATCGTTCAAAGTCTATTAAGGGCAAAGGCAATTAATATCAATCACCAGACTAAGATATTACACTAACATGACTATACAACTCTAACTAAGACTCCTTTATTTGTATTACACAGAACGGTAGGTTGACGCCCCTCTTCCTGGCCTCAAAAGGTGGTCATGTAGATGTAGTGAGACTACTGATACAGAAGAAATGTGACGTGAACATCTGCAGCAAGCTTAAGGTATATACTTAGTGTCGCCGAGGAAATTTGAATCACTGTCCTAATTATGACCATGTAGTCTATGCTTTTGCACGGGTAGTTAACTAAAACACATGATGCAAATCTTCACCTGTGTCCTAGGCTGGTATTAGCCCCCTGGCTATAGCCAGCAAGAATGGCCACACCGATATAGTGGACCTACTGGTTGAAGCAGGAGCAAAGGTTAATCTGGCTGCTGAGGTAAGCCAAATCCTTTTGAAAGATTTGCACATCTTCAATCGCTTGATGCATGCATTGAGTCTGGACATGTTCCTCTGGGGATTGCAGCTGAGATGGGACACATCTCAGTAGTTGAGAGGCTGCTACAAGCAAAGGCTAATGTAAACTACCAGAACAAGGTATAGTGTAGTGACAACACCATCCTGATTTTAAAATGTATGTGATCATTTCACAGGCTGGTAACACTCCTATTTACTTGGCTTCAATAAAGGGTCATGCAGCAATAGTGAGACTACTGATAAGGATAAAAGCTGATGTTAACATCTGTAATAAGGTATTGCTTTATGACTCTCACTGCCTATATATAATATTCTCCTGGACATTATAATCTTGCGTTTGACTAAACAGGATGGTATTAGCCCAGTGTATGCGGCTAGCAGGACTGGCAGAACAAGTATAGTGGATCTGCTGGTCAATGCAGGAGCTGACATCACCTGGCTGCTGCCGACTCAGTTAGCCAAATACACGAGGGATTTCCACTATATGTCTGATGTCTACCCATAGTGGCAGATGTTCTCTGGGATTGCAATTCGAATGGGCACATCAAGACTGTTGAAAGGCTGCTAAAAGCAAATGCTGATGTAACTACAAGAACGAGGTATAGTGTAGTGACAAGACATCCTGATTTTAAAATGTATGTGATCATTTCACAGGCTGTAACACTCCTATTTACTTGGCTTCTATAAAAGGTCATGCAGCAATAGTGAGACTATGATAAGGATAAAAGCTGATGTTAACATTGTAATAAGGTATTGCTTTATGACTCTGACTGCCTATATATAATATTCCCTGGATATATAATCTTGTGTATGACTAACAGGATGGTATTAGCCCAGTGTATGCGGCTAGCAGGACTGGCGGAACAGGTATAGTGGATCTGCTGGTCAATGCAGGAGCTGACATTCACCTGGCTGCTACCGACTCAGTTAGCCAAATAAACAACAATTGTCTTGATGTACGTATACCAACAATATTGTAGTGTGGAGATGTTCCTCTGGGGATTGCAATTATGATGGGACATGTCCAGACTGTTGAAAGGCTGCTAAAAGCAAAAGCTGATGTAAACTACCAGAACAAGGTATAGTGTAATGACAAGACCATCCTGATTTTAAAATGTATGTGATCATTTCACAGGCTGGTAACACTCCTATTTACTTGGCTTCTATAAAAGGTCATGCAGCAATAGTGAGACTACTGATAAGGATAAAAGCTGATGTTAACATCTGTAATAAGGTATTGCTTTATGACTCTCACTGCCTATATATAATATTCTCCTGGACATTATAATCTTGTGTATTGACTAAACAGGATGGTATTAGCCCAGTGTATGTGGCTAGCTGGACTGGCGGAACCGGTATAGTGGATCTGCTGGTCAATGCAGGAGCTGACATCCACCTGCCTGCTGCCGACTCAGTTAGCCAAATAAACAACAATTGTCTTGATGTACGTATACCAACAATATTGTAGTGTGGAGATGTTCCTCTGGGGATTGGAATTAGGATGGGACATGTCCAGACTGTTGAAAAGCTACTGAAAGCAAAGGCCAACATAAACTACACGAACAAGGTAGATGACTATATATCTTACAGTGTATACGTGTGTGAGGGCACTACTACGTGAATGGCCTGAGGGTTCATTGAAATCCGGTATGACCCATGTATGCAGAGTACATGACATGTTCAGTGCAGAGCCAAACAGCTACACACTGCCACGTTTCCAAGCACTGGGAATTTGAAAGATGCGAGAGAGAGAAAGAGACGAGAGGGCGAGACTGTATGTAGTGTATGCTATCTCTCTCTGTGATTCATAACAGTGTGGCAGCGTTCCTCTGGAGACAGCTGCTGAGATTGGGTGTGCTGAGATTGTCCAGGGACTGTTGAAAGCAGGGGCAAATGTTAACCATCAGAACAAGGTGAGTATATTGTGTGCAACGTAAGCTATCACGGAAATATGATAGATATGAATGTAAGGTCCATTTTCATGTCGCTATATACTATAATAGTTGTTATCTTTGGCCACTGTATTAAACTTACTCACCACTATATAAACTCACCAGGATTTAGTTGCGTGTCATGCTCTTACTACAGGCTGGATGCACAGCTCTGTACCGTGCAGTAGCAAATGGCCACACAGAGGTAGTGGAACTTTTACTATCAGCTGGGGCCAAGGATCTACCAAAAAAAGTGAGCTCATTTCTCAAGGGTGTTCTGGGCAAGTGCAAACCCACAATGGCAGAAACATGTCGTCCATCATCACTCTCTTGACTTCACATGTGTTACCTCTTGAACTAATTAGTCAGGAGTCAAAATTAATGATGGTTGTCTGATTCTTTAGGCTCTACAAACAGCTTTGAGCCTGGCTAGAGCTGGAAATCACTGCGAAATGATACGTATGCTGCAATACCACAAGTGAAAGGTCAAAACTCACAGCAGAATCATAATAATTATGTACAATATATTGTTATTGTAATATACAATAACATTGTGTGCTGATTGTGATCAATTGTTGTCCGCGCTCGCAGCGTGCCGGAGGACGCGCGCGAACACCTACGCCCAGTCAACGCACCCCGGGGCGTAGACTAAGTGGACAAAGCGAGGGACAAAGTTGGTTTCACAAAAGTTTGCTGGAAGAGGGACCAGCTCTGCCCAGACTCTCCACTGACAGGCGCGCTATCCGTGGCGCAATGCGGGCCGACACACCGGCGCCCTCTAGTTGGGACACCATACTGGCTGCAGGACACGGGCGCATTTTGCGGAGAGGCCATCAGTTGTTGCTGGCATATTGTAACATAGCTAGGTAGCTATATCATTATTAGTTCGTGCAAAAATCGTCCAAAAAGTTTCCGACTTACACCCGACCCTCGTTTTCACAAAAAGCGCGCGCCCCCCTCCCCCCCGCAGCTCCCGGCCACGCTGCTATAGGAGAGGTAATTAGAACCTCGCAAACAGAGTTTGGCTACTAGCGCCAGCCAGTAAGTTGAAATATGGCTGCAAAAGGACTAAGGTCTGGCGGTAATCGCGACATTTGCATACCGCTAAACGGTCGATACGGTTTCCAGAAAGTTCTCATCCATCTCTCAGAAGACTCGGAGCTCGGAAGAGGGTCCTACGGCAGTGTCGTCAAGGCCGAGCTCGACGACCTCCCGTGCGCGGCGAAAATCCTCCACCAAACCTTCTTTAGCTCCAACGATCCGGCAGCTAGAGAATTCGCCGCTAAATTCGTGCAAGAGTCCCAGATAATGCGCGGTCTCAACCACCCCAATATCGTCAGTTTCCTTGGTTCGGTGCAGGATCCCGTCTCAGGCAGGCTGGTTCTTCTCATGGAGATGATGAAGGAAAGTTTGACGCATTTCCTCGAGCTATCGACTACCTGCCTTTCTTACCTCGTCCAAGTCAACATCTCCCACGATATAGCACTGGCTGTTGCTTACCTGCACACAAAACGAATCCTCCATCGAGACCTGTCCAGCAACAATGTCCTCCTGAATCCCGGCTGCCAGGCTAAGGTGACCGACTTTGGCATGTCACAAATAGCAGATTCGAATCACTCCATGACACGCAGTCAAGTAACGCAATGCCCAGGAACACTTGCCTACATGCCTCCAGAAGCACTATTGTCAAAGCCACGTTATTCCGAAAAGCTCGACAGTTTTTCAATGGGAGTCTTGATGATCCAAACCATCACACGCAAGTTCCCTGCCCCCACTGAGGCACATATCACTCGTGAAGATCCCAAATCTCCGACAGGAATAATCATTGTCCCAGTTTCAGAATTAGAACGTCGCGAGGCTGACATGAGGGACATTCCTATTTCCCATCCCCTATTGTCGATCGCCAAATGTTGCCTGAAGGACAAGTACCAGGAGCGACCTAATGCCAGCCAAATTTGCCAGAGCCTTGCAGAGCTGAAGACCACAGTGACATACAAGGTCAGCACCACAAATCCTGGTCTTTTTGCTACATCATTAGGCCTATAATTATACTTATATCACACCAACTTACATATTCCGTGTCTTTGGTTACAGTATGTCATGAGAATATAGTGGTAATTCAAATGTGATAAATGGGTTTCAATGGCGTCAAGCGCAATGTGATGTTACACATTTTTGCATTTGGCTATAATACTATACTACAGGATACAAGGCTTGGTGAGGAGATTACTGATGAGAAATCTAACATTGCTGGTGTAGCTCAGCCACAAAATGCTGGAAAAGAAATTTCGGTATGCATAATAGTTATATACAATGTTGGAGATTGTAGGGCTATTTTAGGCACATTTTTAATGTGCAGATAGGAAGAACTGACCTACATGATGCTGCTGAGAGAGGAGATGTGGATGATGCAGTAAGTTGGCTGCTTGCCACTCCTGTTGACATTAACTCCAGAACTGAGGTCAGTAGAGTTAAGCTATTTTAACAAAATGAAGAATCCCTTTTTGCAGGAAGGTGAGAGTGCTCTATCTCTAGCCTCACGCAGAGGTCATGAAGAAGTCGTAGGCCTTTTAATTGAAGCAAATGCACTCATCAACATTCAAGATAATGTGAGGTGGACCAACACTCTGTCGCCTAAAATACTCTTTACTAATGCAGGATGGACGGTCTCCTCTCTACTGGGCATCACTGAAGGGTCACGTTGCAATAGTAAGACTCCTTATACGGAGGAGAGCTGATGTTAATCCATGTGACAAGGTACATAATTATAATAGTTCATCCTTATTATCGTACATCATTGTTTGTGCAAAAATTGTTCAGTCCAGTGTTTGTAGCTAACAAAGTGAGCCTACCTAGTCGTCTGAACTGGGTGGATTTCCATATGTATATATATCTGATGATGACACAGTCCTACATAATAATGCTGTACATATAACTCTTCATAGACAAAATTATCGTGATTTGTTATGCATGACTTTCAGCACCAAATGCGTTGTATCCAGTATAGAAAATGAAGTTTGCCGCAGAAGACTACAGACTGTGTATATAAGTCTGTAGTACATATTATATCCTACACCAGTGAGTAAATGGTAGGAATGTAGATATCAGCATCCTTCTTTGTGGGGGATAGGTATGTATCACAAACAGATTTTGCTGACTTTGAATAACCACTTACATATACAACAGCATGCAAATAGTAAGCTAACAATAACTTACTGTTGCCTTCACAGCACTTTTTTTCACTGTTTCCGTCTCTCCTCAGGATGATGATACTCCTCTGGGTATAGCAGCACAGAATGGACACATTGAGACTGTTCTGACTCTTCTGAATGCAGTAGCAAATATTGACCATCAGAACAAGGTGATGGTTAAACAGAAAGTTTAAGTTACTCAATGATAAACACAGGCTGGTTTAACTCCAATCAACTTGGCCACCACGTGTTGTGAAGTGGAAGTGTAAGGCTACTGATAGAGAGAGGCCAATGTTAACATTTGCTGTAAGGTACGTGTGGTAACAACACAAATATCTAGAATGACTCTGGCCAATATAATTCACTGCACAGCTGGTACCAGTCCATTATATACTGCCAGCCAATGGCTACACACATATAGAGGATCCTGCTCCGCAGAGCAGGAGCAAACATCCAACCGTCAAAGCGTGATGATTACGAGGATGGCATCATTTTGTTTGTCTTCTCTAGCGCACCACCATGCTTATTTCTTAATTCACAAGATCGTGTCAGAAATAATGTTGCTCAAAGACCAAGCTCTTATGGGCGGATTCATGCCAGTATTACTTGCGTTCATTTTGGCTCACGCAAAACACATGCGAGGCATTACCACCTTAAAACGTCCCAATCGGGCTGGACGACATCCCATGGCAATACTACTACCAGGACAACTTTCATCATGCCCCAATTTTTTTTTGCAAATTACTTGAGCGTTTAGGTTTTGCTACCGGTTTATGCTGCTTCCGTATTATACTAACAGCAACAAATCCAGTGGAGGTAACGAATACATTAGCCATATGGCTTGTTAACTTGTTTCATTCCATAACTGTCAATGCATTGCTTTTAAACTTAAAATTGGCCAAATTTAAAATCAATGCCGGTGTAGCGCTGAACCTGTTGGTGTCACTCTTTCATTGTCTCATTGCGCGTGGTTGCAGAAAACGTGGTACACGACAGACAGACAGACACCTTACGGACCAATACTGTAACCCTCACTGCACATGAAGTATTTGATCATGTGATGCCGAAGAGAAAAAGATGCGGAGCCTGGACCGCTGTTTTCGGATGTTGGCCCTCATCACACGAATACAGTACACGTCTTCTCTCTGGCATCACGAGTTTATAAATGCTACCAGGAGCGCAGCGCTTGTGGTTCTGAACTATGAGATTCATCCCCACAAGGCTTTGCCACTGACCATCAGCACGCCGAGAGTTAACTAGACTCTGTAACCAACTCCCACTGTTTAACAGTTACAGTCTCAGAATTATGTGGGGAACGGGTGATAAATTCGGTATTTGCCTACTAGGGAGATAAACAGACAACTAGCTATTACTGTCTCTCAACTGTTGGTCTGCCAATTACTCTGGGTGTGTGGTCTATGGCCCAGTGCTACACTGCCAATTATCCTCTGTCCAGCATGGCCACAGCCCACTGTTTGAAGCTACCTTGGAAGGAAATAAAGATATGGTGGACCGACTGGTTGATGCAGGAGCTGACACTAATGTGGCCACCACTAAGGTAGCCATACTTAGACCATAGGCTGCAAAAAGGCGATCTTCGTACAATATAGCATGGGCTTACCTTGACCGCATTCCGCCTGTGTTTTGTGTAGACCATTGTAGAGGTATCAGATGTTACAACAGGGTGAGAGCGCAATGCCTTAAATTAAATACTACAGTTGCAGGTTGCAGACTCATATTTTAGCAGGCATAACAATGTAGCCACGTCCTATTGATGTGCACGCTTAGTGATCCGAGGGTTTGCACTTTAGTTTTTTACATTATGCAGCGTGGCTATGTTCCTCTGGGGTTGGCTGCTCAAAATGGACATGCAGCAATCGTTCAGACTCTATTAAGGGCAAAGGCAATTAATATCAATCACCAGACTAAGGTATTATACTAACATGACTATACAACTCTAACTAAGACTCCTTTATTTGTATTACACAGAACGGTAGGTTGACGCCCCTCTTCCTGGCCTCAAAAGATGGTCATGTAGATGTAGTGAGACTACTGATACAGAAGAAATGTGACGTGAACATCTGCAGCAAGGTATATACTTAGTGTCGCCGAGGAAATTTGAATCACTGTCCTAATTATGACCATATAGTCTATGCTTTTGCACGGGTAGTTAACTAAAACACATGATGCAAATCTCCACCTGTGTCCTAGGGTGGTATTAGCCCCCTGGCTATAGCCAGCAAGAATGGCCACACAGATATAGTGGACCTACTGGTTAAAGCAGGAGCAAAGGTTAATCTGACTGCTGAGGTAAGCCAAATCTTTTTGAAAGATTTTGCACATCCTTAATTGCTTGATGCATGCATTTAGTCTGGAGATGTTCCTCTGGGGATTGCAGCTGAGATGGGACACATCTCAGTAGTTGAGAGGCTGCTACAAGCAAAAGCTGATGTAAACGACCAGAACAAGGTATAGTGTAGTGACAAGACCATCCTGATTTTAAAATGTATGTGATCATTTCACAGGCTGGTAACACTCCTGTCTACTTGGCTTCAATAAAGGGTCATGCAGCAATAGTGAGACTACTGATAAGGATAAAAGCTGATGTTAACATCTGTAATAAGGTATTGCTTTATGACTCTCACTGCCTATATATAATGTTCTCCTGGACATTATAATCTTGTGTATTGACTAAACAGGATGGTATTAGCCCAGTGTATGTGGCTAGCTGGACTGGCAGAATAGGTATAGTGGATCTGCTGGTCAATGCAGGAGCTGACATCCACCTGGCTGCTACCGACTCAGTGAGCCAAATACAATTGTCTTGATATACGTATATATACCAACATTATTGTAGTGTGGAGATGTTCCTCTGGGGATTGCAATTCAAATGGGGCACATCCAGACTGTTGAAAGGCTGCTACAAGCAAAAGCTGATGTAAAATACCAGAACAAGGTATAGTGTAGTGACAAGACCATCCTGATTTTAAAATGTATGTGATCATTTCACAGGCTGGTAACACTCCTGTCTACTTGGCTTCTATAAAAGGTCATGCAGCAATAGTGAGACTACTGATAAGGATAAAAGCTGATGTTAACATCTGTAATAAGGTATTGCTTTATGACTCTCACTGTCAAATTCTCCTGGACATTATAATCTTGTGCATTGACTGAACAGGATGGTATTAGCCCAGTGTATGCAGCTAGCCGGAGTGGCAGAACAGGTATAGTGGATCTGCTGGTCAATGCAGGAGCTGACATCCACCTGGCTGCTGCCGACTCAGTTAGCCAAATAAACAACAATTGTCTTGATGTACGTATACCAACAATATTGTAGTGTGGAGATGTTCCTCTGGGGATTGCAATCAGGATGGGACATATCCAGACTGTTGAAAGGCTACTGAAAGCAAATGCCAACGTAAACTACACGAACAAGGTAGATGACTCTATATCATACAGTGTGAGGGCACTGCTATGTGAATGGCCCGAGGGTTAATTTAAGTCCGGTATGATCCATGTATGCAGAGTACATGACATGTTTAGTGCAGAGTCAAACAGCTACACACTGCCACTAGGGCAGACAACTAGCTATTATGTCTCTCAACTGTTGGTATACCAATTACTCTGGGTGTGTGCCCAGCGCTACAACTACCAATTATCCTCTGTCCAGCATGGCCACAGCCTACTGTTTGAAGCTACCTCGGAAGGAAATAAAGATATGGTGGACCGACTGGTTGATACAGGAGCTGACACTAATGTGGCCACCACTAAGGTTGCCATACTTAGACCAAAGGCTGCGAAAGGCGATCTTCGTACAATATAGCATGGGCTTACCTCGACCACATTCCGCCTGTGTTTTGTGTAGACCATTGTAGAGGCATCAGACATTACAACGGGGTGAGAGCGCAATGCCTTACTACAATACTAGTGATCCGAGGGTTTGCACTTCAGCGCTTTTCATTATGCAGAGTGGCTATGTTCCTCTGGGGATGGCTGCTCAAAATGGACATGTAGCAATCGTTCAAAGTCTATTAAGGGCAAAGGTAATTAATATCAATCACCGGACTAAGGTATTATACTAACATAACTATACAAATCTAACTAAGACTCCTTTATTTGTATTACACAGAACGGTAGGTTGACGCCCCTCTTCCTGGCCTCAAAAGGTGGTCATGTAGATGTAGTGAGACTACTGACACAGAAGAAATGTGATGTGAACATCTGCAGCAAGGTATATATACTTAGTGTCGCCAATAAAACATGTAGAAATTGGAACCACTGTCCTAATTATGACCATGTAGTCTATGCTCTCGCACGGGTAGTTAACTAAAACACATGATGCAAATCTTCACCTGTGTCCCAGGGTGATATTAGCCCCCTGGCTATAGCCAGAAACAATGGCCACATCGATATAGTGGACCTACTGGTTGAAGCGGGAGCAAAGGTTAATCTGACTGCTGAGGTAAGCCAAATCTTTTTGAAAGATTTTGCACATCCTTAATTGCTTGATGCATGCATTTAGTCTGGAGATGTTCCTCTGGGGATTGCAGCTGAGATGGGACACATCTCAGTAGTTGAGAGGCTGCTACAAGCAAAAGCTAATGTAAACACCCTGAACAAGGTGATGAATTAATAATACACCCTTTCTTATAATGTGTCCTTTTGCATTAACAGGATGGTATTAGCCCAGTGTATGCAGCCAGCCGGAGTGGCAGAACAAGTATAGTGGATCTGCTGGTCAATGCAGGAGCTGACATCCACCTGGCTGCTGCCGACTCAGTTAGCCAAATACACGAGTGGCTTCCACTATTATGTCTTGATGTCTACCCATAGTGTGCAGATGTTCCTCTTGGGATTGCAATTCGAATGGGGCACATCAAGACTGTTGAAAGGCTGCTAAAAGCAAATGCTGATGTAAACTACCAGAACGAGGTATAGTGTAGTGACAAGACCATCCTGATTTTAAAATGTATGTGATCATTTCACAGGCTGGTAACACTCCTATTTACTTGGCTTCTATAAAAGGTCATGCAGCAATAGTGAGACTACTGATAAGGATAAAAGCTGATGTTAACATCTGTAATAAGGTATTGCTTTATGACTCTGACTGCCTATATATAATATTCTCCTGGATATTATAATCTTGTGTATTGACTAAACAGGATGGTATTAGCCCAGTGTATGCGGCTAGCAGGACTGGCGGAACAGGTATAGTGGATCTGCTGGTCAATGCAGGAGCTGACATTCACCTGGCTGCTACCGACTCAGTTAGCCAAATAAACAACAATTGTCTTGATGTACGTATACCAACAATATTGTAGTGTGGAGATGTTCCTCTGGGGATTGCAATTATGATGGGACATGTCCAGACTGTTGAAAGGCTGCTAAAAGCAAAAGCTGATGTAAACTACCAGAACAAGGTATAGTGTAATGACAAGACCATCCTGATTTTAAAATGTATGTGATCATTTTACAGGCTGGTAACACTCCTGTCTACTTGGCTTCTATAAAAGGTCATGCAGCAATAGTGAGACTACTGATAAGGATAAAAGCTGATGTTAACATCTGTAATAAGGTATTGCTTTATGACTCTCACTGCCTATATATAATATTCTCCTGGACATTATAATCTTGTGTATTGACTAAACAGGATGGTATTAGCCCAGTGTATGTGGCTAGCTGGACTGGCGGAACCGGTATAGTGGATCTGCTGGTCAATGCAGGAGCTGACATCCACCTGCCTGCTGCCGACTCAGTTAGCCAAATAAACAACAATTGTCTTGATGTACGTATACCAACAATATTGTAGTGTGGAGATGTTCCTCTGGGGATTGCAATTAGGATGGGACATGTTCAGACTGTTGAAAGGCTACTGAAAGCAAATGCCAACGTAAACTACATGAACAAGGTAGATGACTATATATCTTACAGTGTATATGTGCCTGAGGACACTACTATGTGAATGGCCTGAGGGTTCATTGAAATCCGGTATGACCCATGTATGCAGAGTACATGACTTGTTTAGTGCAGAGTCAAACAGCTACACACTGCCACGTTCCCAAGCACTGGGAATTTGAAAGATGCGAGAGAGAGAAAGAGACGAGAGGGCGAGACTGTTTGTAGTGTATGCTATCTCTCTCTGTGATTCATAACAGTGTGGCACCGTTCCTCTGGAGACAGCTGCTAAGATTGGGCGTGCTAATATTGTCCAGGGACTGTTGAAAGCAGGGGCAAATGTTAACCATCAGAACAAGGTGAGTATATTGTGTGCAACGTAAGCTATCACGGAAATATGATTGTAAGGTCCATTTTCATGTCGCTATATACTATAATAGTTGTTATTTTTGGCCACTGTATTAAACTTACTCACCACTATATAAACTCACCAGGATTTAGCTACATTAGTTGTGTGTTGTGTTCTAACTACAGGCTGGATGCACAGCTCTGTACCGCGCAGTAGCAAATGGCCACACAGAGGTAGTGGAACGTTTACTATCAGCTGGGGCCAAGGATCTACGAAACAAAGTGAGCTCATTTCTCAAGGTTGTTCTGGGCAAGTGCAAACCCACAATGGCAGAAACATGTCGTCCATCATCACTCTCTTGACTTCACATGTGTTACCTCTTGAACTAATTAGTCAGGAGTCAAAATTAATGATGGTTGTCTGATTCTGTAGGCTCTACAAACAGCTTTGAGCCTGGCTAGAGCTGGAAATCACTGCGAAATGATACGTATGCTGCAATACCACAAGTGAAAAGTCAAAACTCACAGCAGAATCATAATAATTATGTACAATATATTGTTATTGTAATGTACAATAATGATGACGCGCGCCTACTTTCTCATGCGCGAACACCTACGCCCAGTCAATGCACCCCGGGGCGTAGACTAAGTGGACAAAGCGAGGGACAAAGTTGGTTTCACAAACGTTTGCTGGAAGAGGGACCAGCTCTGCCCAGACTCTCCACTGACAGGCGCGCTATTCGTGGCGCAATGCGGGCCGACACACCGGCGCCCTCTAGTTGGGACACCATACTGGCTGCAGGACACGGGCGCATTTTGCGGAGAGGCCATCAGTTGTTGCTGGCATATTGTAACATAGCTAGGTAGCTATATCATAGGTAATTACTATTTCGTGCAAAAATCGTCCGACTTACACCAGACCCTCGTTTTCACAAAAAGCGCGCGCCCCCTCCCCCCCGCAGCTTCCGGCCACGCTGCTATAGGACAGGTAATTAGAACCTCACAAACAGAGTTTGGCTACTAGCGCCAGCCAGTAAGTTGAAATATGGCTGCAAAAGCACTAAGATCTGGCGGTAATCGCGACATTTGCATACCGCTAAACGGTCGATACGGTTTCCAGAAAGTTCTCATCCATCTCTCAGAAGACTCCGAGCTCGGAAGAGGGTCCTACGGTAGTGTCGTCAAGGCCGAGCTCGACGACTTTCCGTGCGCGGCGAAAATCCTCCACCAAACTTTCTTCAGCTCCAACGATCCCGCAGCTAGAGAATTCGCCGCTAAATTCGAGCAAGAGTCCCAGATAATGCGCGGTCTCAACCATACCAATATCGTCCGTTTCCTTGGTTCGGTGCAGGATCCCGTCTCAGGCAGGCTGGTTCTTCTCATGGAGATGATGAAGGAAAGTCTGACGCATTTCCTCGAGCTATCGACTATCTGCCTTTCTTACCTCGTCCAAGTCAAAATCTCCCACGACATAGCACTGGCTGTTGCTTACCTGCACACAAAACGAATCCTCCATCGAGACCTGTCCAGCAACAATGTCCTCCTGAATCCCGGCTGCCAGGCTAAGGTGACCGACTTTGGCATGTCACAAGTAGCAGATTCGAATCACTCCATGACACGCAGTCAAGTAACGCAATGCCCAGGAACACTTGCCTACATGCCTCCAGAGGCCCTTTTGCCAAAGCCACGTTATTCCGAAAAGCTCGACAGTTTTTCAATGGGAGTCTTGATGATCCAAACCATCACACGCAAGTTCCCTGCCCCCACTGAGGCACATATCACTCGTGAAGATCCAGAATCCTCAACCGGTATAGTCTATATCCCTGTTTCAGAAGTAGAACGCCGTAAAGCTGACATAAGCGGAATTTCAACAATGCATCCCCTCTTGTCGATCGCCAAATGTTGCCTGAAGGACAAGTACCAGGAGCGACCTAATGCCAGCCAAATTTGCCAGAGCCTTGCAGATCTGAAGACCACAGTGGCATACAAGGTCAGCACCACAGAAACCTCAGATTCTACGATGGAAGAAGCCAGCGTTGAGCAACCAATTAAAGAGCAGTGTGAAAACCAGCCACAGGTATACAAATTTTATGCTCTATATTAGGGACCATTTCAACATTTTTTGCATGCAGATAAAAAGACCTCAACTACATGAAACTGCTGAGAGAGGAGATGTGGAGGCAGTTAAGAGGCTGCTTGCTACTTCTTCCGTTAAAATCAACTCCACGACCAAGGTTAGAAGATTTTCCCTATATGTAAAGTAATATTCCTCTGTCTACAGCAAGGTGAAACTGCACTTCTGTTAGCCTCATGGAAAGGCCACGAGGCAGTTGTTCGTCTGTTGATTGAGGCACATGCTTCCATCAACCTTAAAGACAAGGTATATATAAGCAGGTAGAAGCTAGCTGCTGCCTTGAAAGTGAACCCTATGTAATGCAGGATGGGCTGACCCCACTCTACTGGGCTTCATTTAAAGGTCACGTTGCAATAGTAAGACTACTGATACAGTGGAAAGCAGATGTTAATGCATGTGATAAGGTAAGTGTAGTATGGTTCTTCTATGTTCACTTGCTCATGTAGCATTGAAATTTAACAGAAAGGCTTCAGTCCAGTGCTTGTAGCCAGCCAGAAAGGTCACGAAAGTGTAGTGGAGCTCCTGATTGGTGCAGGAGCAAATATTCATCTTGGCACCTCTGAGGTAGGTATAATAACACACTAGAACTAATGGCCTGCATGTTTGGCGAGGGAGCATGAGGTTTTGCGTGTATTTGGAATAGCGTTCGACGTTTCGCGAGTATTTATAACATTACGGTTTGTGCAATGCCCATCACATAATAGAATATTTTCCCGCATTCAGACAACTAACGTTTGTAGGTGTAAGCTTTATTACTCAAGACCAAAATAAATTTCTGAATGCTACATATGGAAGAAAAGTTTACTAATGTGTGTAATTTTCAAGAACAATGAATAACGTCACGAACAAGATATGCAGTGCTTTTGACCTTGAATGTTTTCTCCTTTGAAAGTTTGCTGCTATGATGCGGGCAGGATAATTTTGTTTTTTGCAAAATAATGATTGTGCTGAGCACATGTATATTTAAAGCAATCGTGTTTTGCAAATAGTGTTGACAACTATAACATTATGTGCATGGCTGTTGCTATTAGAAAGGCCACCACATCTTAATTCTGCCTTGTCATTCAAACTCTAAAGTTGACCAGTTGGTATACTCAGTTAGCCCCATTATAGAGGAAAATCCCCCACAGATTTTCTTAAGTCAGCAGCAGGGTAGATTTCAGCTAACTGACCAACAAACTGTCTCTCCTCAGAGTGACGATACTCCTCTGGGAATAGCAGCAAAGAATGGACACATTGGAATTGTTCGGAAACTTATGAATGCAGGAGCAAATATCCACCATCCGAACAAGGTGATGATAATTATAATGAAGAGCACTAAAGTGCAAACCCTTGGCGTAGAACTAGTGCTGTTACTGGAGTGATAATTTTAGCATGTAGTGCAGCTGCAATAATAATAGCACACCTGAATTTGCAAAAATGGTAATTTGCTAGCTGTGTGAGTACCTACCACCAATAATTGAACTCGGACAGTTGATAGTGCGCTCATTTATCGAAGATGACAGGTTAGACCACTAGGCAAACTTAGGCTGTATGCAGCCTATAACTACACAGGCTGGTTTGACTCCAATCAACCTCGCCACTGGTGGTTGTAGAGAGGCAAGGTTGGAGGAGACTAAGGCCGTAATGGATTATTGGTTGAACTTGATGATTGTTTCAAATTCACATAGGCCGGTCTCACCCCTCTCATCCTGGCCATAATAGGTGGCAATGCAGAAGCAGTAAAATTTTTGATTCAGAAGAAATGTGATTTGGGCATCAGCAAAAAGGTAATTGGTAGGTTTATGTAATTGGCGAGCGAAGCGAGCCTACCTAGTCGTGTTAATGCTGGAATTTTCTACACTATGTGACCACTCTGTTTGGCACTGCACATAATGCTCTACATGATTCTAAATACGTACAACAAAAACGTGCGAAATATTGAACTGCTCGTGCTCACTCGCCAAAATTTGCGTTGCATTCCTCTAGTATTAGTCATCATTTCACAAACATAGAATATCTTTACTTACTACCCAGGCTGGTTATAGTCCTCTGTTTATAGCCAGTGATATTGGCCATACATGTATAGTGGACTTACTGGTTGAAGCAGGAGCAAAGGCTAATCTGGCCTCCACTGAGGTAGGTCCAGTCTGTATAGATTTGCAATGTCCAAACTTTGCTTCATTAAAAAAGTCTGGAGATGTTCCTCTGGGGATTGCAGCTCATAACGGACATGCCCAAACAGTTGACAGGCTGTTACAGGCAAAAGCCAATGTAAACTGCCGAAACAAGGTAATGACCGTACTTAGTTTGACAACCACTGCACCATCCTAAAATTTTATTACACAGGCTGGTAGCACTCTTATTTTAATGGCCTCACTGAAGGGTCATGTAGAAATAGTGAGACTACTGATCGAAAAAAAAGAAAAGCACTAAAGTGCAAACCCTCGGCAAACTCTGCATGCGCGATACTGCTAAATTGATGGGCTGGGCTATTTGTATGCGTTTACTCATGAGCTGCGGAGAGTCTGACACGGGCTAGCTACAGTAGTAGATAGCATGCGGGGGTCGATGCATGCCATTCGTTGTGACTTCCACCGTAACCCTCGCTGCGCATGCGCGCCGAAGGATAAATAAGGTATTCAAAACAGTCTTATTGCTTGTAACAGAAAGGTATCAGTCCACTGTATGCTGCCAGCCAGGAAGGCCACATGGATATAGTAGAGATTCTAATTGAAGCAGGAGCAAAGATTTATCTGGCTACTGAGGTGAACCAAATCCATTCATTGTACACTTCACTAACTCTTGATGCGTACATAAAGTCTGGAGATGTTCCTCTGGGGATTGCAGCTGAGAGGGGACACTTATCAGTAGTTAAGAGGCTGTTGCAGGCAAACGCCAAAGTCAACTCGCAGAACAAGGTAGTGAAGTGACATTGTGAACTGAAGTAGTTCTTTAATTAAAACACAATAGTTATAAAAGTGTGCCAGCAGCTAAATAGTTGTTACCATGCTACACAGGCTGGTGTCACTCCGCTCCACTTGGCCTCATTAAAGGGTCATGTAGCAACAGTCAGACTACTGATAATGGTTAAAGCAGATGTTAACATCTGCGCCTTAGCAAAGCCTTGTGGGGATGAATCTCATTAGTTCAAAACCACAAGTGCCGTGCTCAACTTTGCCTTTATAAACTCGTGATGTCAGAGAGAGAAGTTGCGGTATGCTTTGCTGATGAGGGCTAACAAGCCCGAAACAGCTGTCCAGAGCTCCACATCTTTTTTCTCTTGGCATCACGTGGTCTATTGTTACATCTGTATTGAGGTATTTCCCCACAATTACTCTCAAAATTTGTGACACTTGTGCAATGAGCAGAAAGGTTGTAGTCCAGTATATACTGCCAGCCAGGAAGGCCACACAGATATAGTTGACCTACTGGTTGCAGCAGGAGCCAGGATTAATCTGGCTGCTGAGGTGAGCCCACTCTGATAAAAACATTTGTACATCTCTCTAATATCTTAATGCATATTAAAGTCTGGAGATATTCCTCTGGGGGCTGCAGCTGAGAAGGGACACTTATCAGTAGTTATGAAGCTGTTGCAGGCCAACGCAAAAGTTAACTCGCAGAACAAGGTAGTGAAGTGACATTGTGATCCTTGTCACAGTGTATGCTGAAGTATAGCTATACATGTTCTTTACAACACAACTGTTATAATAAGAATGCCATCAGCTAAATAACCACTGCAGTTACCATGCTACACAGGCTGGTGCCACTCCTCTCTACTTGGCCTCATTAAAGGGTCATGTAGCAACAGTCAGACTACTGATAATGATGAAAGCCCATGTTAACATCTGTAATAAGGTATTTCCTATGATTATTGTCAAAGATTTTGTTACTTGTACAATGAGCAGAGGGGTTATAGTCCAGTGTATGCTGCCAGCCAGGAAGGCCACACAAATATAGTTGACCTACTGATCAAAGTTGGAGCTGATATCCAACTGACAAATACTGAGGTGCATAATACCATTGGCACACAGAGCACCCTTGGGTGTGAATGTATAATATACAGCATGGCAGTGTTCCACTGGAGATAGCTGCTATGAATGGACATGTCCAGACTGTCCAGAGATTGTTGGAGGAGAACCCATATATCAACCACCAAAATGAGGTGATTACAAGGAGAATGTGACATGCTGGATTGTTATCCTCGTCCCCAGGCCCCACCAGTGAATGGGGCCTGGGGACGACGAGGCTAGCTGGATTGTCAATTTTGGGTGGGCGAGCATGCGCACCGAGGGTTAATAAGTTGCTCACTATTAATGACACAATGCCTTGCTGTGAACTATGAAAACATGTGACGAGAGTTTTCTTGATTCCCATAAAGGTTGGTCAGACTCCTCTCTACCTGGCCTCAAGGAGCGGTCATTCAGTAATAGTGAGAATGCTGATTCAGAGAACGGCTAATGTTAACATTTGTAACAAGGTATAGATTTGCATGCAGCACTAACTCATGACAATAATGTGCTCTTTGCATAGGATGGTGTAAGCCCACTGTATGCGGCAAGCTTTAAAGGCCACTCAGATGTTGTACAACTACTTGTCAATGCAGGAGCTAATGTTGACCTATTTTCCTACATGGTATATACAAGTAGATAAAAATCCAGCGAGTTTAAAAAAATAGATGCATAATTATAGGGATGGCATAAGGGAGACACCCCGACCCCATCACATGTTGCCTGGTGTATATACCACTCTTAAACTCAATTTGGACTCTATAATGGTGTTACTCAGTAGCATGAGTTTTGTTTGTCTATAGGTCCTGTAAAGTTAATACCTCACCTAGGCAATCTTATATCCTCATGACACCATGCAACAGGGCAACGTGACATTGTGAACCTAACCTTAGACACTCATATTATTATGTATTGGGCCAGAAGAAGACATCACAGTGAAAAAAACCAGTGATAAAAGACAACCGGTGGCTTTTAATAGTTATACAAGTGGAAAAATCATTTCTTCAAAATGAAAGGGGGATATAGGGATGGCTTGAAGCACCAAAAAGGAAGAAACAAGGGGTCATTACACAGCAAAGTTGCACAAAGCTACATGACACCATCCCTATATCGTTGTTCGATATTAAACTTTGCTTATAAACAATAAAACAAAGATGCTTATAAACAATAAAACAAAGATATAGGGATGGTGTCATGTAGCTTTGTGCAACTTTGCTGTGTAATGACCCCTTGTTTCTTCCTTTTTGGTGCTTCAAGCCATCCCTATATCCCCCTTTCATTTTGAAGAAATGATTTTTCCACTTGTTTCTACTATGTTTAACAGCTTATGACAACACTGCATTTATTATTACAGTCACTCTGATGTTCATGGGCATGTTGTAGATAGGCTACCATAGACAAATAGTAACTGTTGAAAGTAGTAGCTATTGCCCCTTGTTTCTTCCTTTTTGGTGATTCAAGCCATCCCTATATCCCCCTTTCATTTTGAAGAAAAGATTTTTCCACTTGTAAGAAGAAGATGAAGAATAATTATGAGGACACGAAAATCGTGAAATCGCGTATGAGCGAATTCTCCCGTGGACGACTGAAGGTGCGTATGAAGTCTTGGGGGACATGTATAGGTAGATATGGGCCCGTAGACTATTGCTAGTATGTTTTTAAGGCCTAGGGAGTGATTCTCACCGAGTTTTTAGTCGTTTTGTACGCGGATCACGTGAGATTTCACCCGTGTCATCCCTACTATATAGAGAGACTACCGACTCTCTAATGTCATCCCTATATAGAGAGTCTACCGACTCTCTAATGTCATCCCTATATAGAGAGTCTACCGACTCTCTAATGTCATCCCTATAATTATAGAGAGTCTACCGACTCTCTAATAGTGTACACCACAAACAATCAGTAGACAATGACATCCTTTTTGTATCACTTGGTTTGTTGTGTGTGATACTGTGTGTCTGCAATGTAATTTTGTGTTGTTGAGCTGTTGAGTTATTAATTTGTATATACTTGCCCAGGTATATAAGGAGAGAGGAGAGAAACACAAAGCTCCCAGAATGGACAATGACACTGGTGACCCTGCTCTTTGTCAGTCTTACCACAATATAGAGGCAATCGGTAGTTATGAAGGTTTATATATAGCTCCAGGTGAAGTAAAGAGATCCTGGGAGTTGTATACAGAGGAACCTCCGAACAACAAGGGACACTAAACGATTTTTTCCTTTGTATACAAGTAAATTAAAAATCCTGCGAATTAAAAAAAAAAGAGGCATATAGGGATGGTATAAAAAGAAAGGGAGACAAGATAGGGATGGGATACATGAAGCATGGTTAATGAACAGATTTGAGTACGCTGACACCCCCAAGTTCCAACCCCATCACACAATCCCTATATTCGTCGTATCGGTGCTTTGCTACTTCCTCGTGAATATATCATCCAACCTTGCATACTTGAATTTTGTTTTCTTGCGTTACACAATTTTTACATGTTTTGTATATCCAATGTTATGGTCATCTGATTACACTTCCACCTAAATGAGCACTTCATGGAAATGTACGTAGCATGACAAATCTATCAAAGGTAATTAGTAAGTACTTCATTACCTATAGCAATATTCTACAGACTCTCTCATCACTCCCACTCCCACCCTACGAAGAAGATTGAAAACTTTCCCTATCATAGCCCCATACATCTATGATGCTAGGTACTCCCACCGTACGACGATATAGGGCTGTTGTAATGACCTGTGGGAGTCCTAACTCCTCGCTAGCATCTCTGTGCTTCCACAAACACAATCCCTATCTTGTCTCCCTTTCTTTTTATACGATCCCTATATGCACTCTTTTTTTTAATCCACAGGATTCTTTATTTACTTGTCGATATGTACATTCCTACAAAATTTCATGGCTTTATCTCTTTTGGTTTTTGAGTTATGCTGGTTGAAGAAGAAGAAGAAGATGAACAAAACTCACACTATCATAGCCCCATACATGTATGATGCTAGGTACCATGCCCATCCCTATATCGCACTAAGTCACAACCCGCTCACCCTTAGTGGGGATAGCAGCGACCGGTTGTCGTCCCTATCTCGCGAGGTCAAAGTACCAAATCATCACACCAAAAGTATTAGCATGGTGTTAACAAAGTGTCTCTATCTAAGAGGGTCCCTTATCGGAGATTCCACTGTATAGTGCATTGGAGAATATACCCAGTCTCCATGCCTGACTTTGACCCCTGACAAAAGTGTCGCATTCTCCTACCATGAGGGGAAAAAAAGTTGTTTAGTTGAATTGTTTGCCTTTGCCTTGCGGCCTTGTTGATGTTTGCATGTGTATACTTAGTTTGGAGTTTGGCCTCTTTGGTGGTTTAGTTACCCCGGTCTGCTCCTACATACTAAATATAGGTTAGACGCGGAAGCGAGGTGTCTACGCTACACCTTTCGCACTCCGACGCTGTGCGCCGAATGTTGGCGTCCCTGAGCGCAGCGAGGGCGCTACCACATGCCCCGAGGGTTGCAATGTAGCGTAGACAACCGAGCCTCCGCGTCTAACCGGTTTAGACGGAGTATCTGATTGGTGTTTGCGCGTTCAAATGGTAGCAACAAGCTACGCAACGACTGCGCTCACTCCTCATTCCTTACCTTCGGATGAACAAGACGCTGTTTTTACCGTGTGAGACTCCGAGGAGACCAGCCGCGCCACCCGTCAAAAATCGTGTACGTCATCATAAACGCCCGCATTAGTGCCCGTGGCGCGTTTTTCTTGATTAAAGGGTAGCACGCGCGGCAACGGCCCAATGTGCTTGTGTATCGCCAGAGCGGAAGACAGCCGACAGCTTTTTCGTGGACTATTGACGTGATTCGACTTCGCACCGACGCTACCGGAGACTGTCCACAGACTTACTTGCAAGGTTGCACTACGCATTTTAAAAGAGCTACTTTGCCAGTCGCGCCTTCTACGCTTACATATACCGAACGCGGAATCGGCCGGTTGCGCAGATAACGACTTTTGAGAATAGCCATTTTGTACGGGAGTTTGCTGTAGACCACCTGCAAACGCCATTAGACACCTGAAACGATGGTTCGGTTTTGCTATGAAAAATAAACCCCCCGCAATTCTGTAATCTGATTGGTCAATTGCGCGTGACTGCGGTCTAAGTGAGAGTATAGCACAGCTGTTGAGGTTTGCCTTTGCCTTTATTTTAGATTTGAGTCCCAACCTGCTGAGCTGCCCTGGTATATAGCTCGGCGGGTAAGAGCAGTCTCTGCCTAGACTGCAGAGTGTCCTGGGTTCAATCCCACCCAGGGAAGCTCTTTATTCCTAAAAAAGAGTTGTTCTGGGTGTAGTTGAACTGTTTGCCTTTGCCATGCGGCCCCGTTTATGCTTGCATGTCTTATGGGGGGGGGAGCCACACCCGAAACTGGTCATTTTTTATTCATGCAATTTCAGTGCATTTCTAAGCCGATTACCAAAGTAGGTATATACTAAGTTGTAGTATAAGGTAGTGTGTAGCATCCGTACACTATAATTAAGCAGACTGTTTACTTATTCATGACTCATTACGTAACCTTGTCATTCGTATAAAAAGTGTGTGCACGTGGAACGAGATCAGATTTCAGATTTCAGACTCAGTCAGAGTCAGAGAAAGAGACGAACGTTGCCACGCGCGAGGCTGGTCGCGCCGCCACAAGTGAAATGAAGAAAATGACCAGTTTTGGGTGGGGCTCCCCTTAACATGAGACTGAATAAGGATTAGGTTGGTGGCAAAAACAATATCACGGAAAACATTCACAGAGATGTCATCTCAGAGCAAACCTGCAAGTACATAACAAAAGTGTGTAGGTATATAGCAGTACACAGAGAGAGAGTGGAGTGGCATACAATCTAACGGGGAAGAGTTCCTTGGGCCAGTCTCTCTGAATGTCCTGCTTGATGATCGTCAGACCAGCTTCCGAGAATATTCGGTAATACGACGCCAGACTCCTGCAGTAAAGAGGGGCATACGCTATGTGAAATTCATGGCTAAATTATCTAGTCCAGTTCCGTACTGTGTATTGAACTACTATTTTTTCTGTTCTTTCGTGTCATTTGTTTAGTAAACCATGATATATACACATGAAGAAAGAACCCAAATTTTTAACAGTGCAAGAACTACCTCGTACATGAAAAAACATGTTTATAGCATACTAGCTAAAAGAAGAATATGAGAGAAAAAGAAAGAACCCTTAAACCCCCCCCCCCAAGCACACAAAACACAGACAATAACATAACATATAAACAGAGAGAGGCAGGACCCTGGGTGCCCAGCCTTGAGAACCGGGGCGGTAGAGTCTTTTACGGGCCCAACTCTCCCTACACACCCAGTGTCCCAACCTCCCTTACACATACATCAATTTCTGCTTATTTAAGGAGACACCTATGGCGCCCAAAGGGTTTTAAAGAGTCTTTTACGGGCCCAACTCTCCCTACACACCCAGTACGTGCAAATTTTGACCAAAAAATGTGTTCTACCTGCAATGCATTATTGGTGCGAATATGGGTGCAGAATTTTACTTACACGAATTGTGAAAAACTAAAGTGCTTGTGTAATTCAAACCACCAGATAGGCTCACCTTACTCAGTCACACAAATCAAAGAATAGGGCCACTTATAAAGCCTGATTACCTGGTAACGGAGGAGTCGTTCTCGTCAAAATTGTCCTCGTCATCGACTGCAATGTTCTCCTTCACCACGATGACCCCCGACCCCCGAGGCAGGGCCTGGGCACAGCATCGTAGGAACATGACCAGATCATCTGATCATCAGCAACAAAATGACGAGAGATAACTTTTCAAGCATATTATAGCTAAACACAGCAAATAGAGGCACAGTATACAAGACATTTCGGCCTTTGGTTACTACAGTGGAACCTCTGAACAAGGGACACTATGGGGCCATTAATTTTGTCCCTTGTAGAGAGGTCGTCCCTATCTTGGAGGTCAAATAATAGACTAGAGTATTAGCATGGGGTTGAAACAAGTATCCTTTGTAGAAGAGGTCGTCCCTATCTCGGAGGTCAAATAATACACTAAGTATAGCATGGGGTTGAAACAAGTGTCCTTTGTAGAGAGGTCGTCCCTATCTCGGAGGTCAAATAATAGACTAAGTATAGCATGGGGTTGAAACAAGTGATCCTTTGTAGAGAGGTCGTCCCTATCTCGGAGGTCAAATAATACACTAAAGTATTAGCATGGGGTTGAAACAAGTGTCCCTTGTAGAGAGGTCGTCCCTATCTCGGAGGTCAAATAATAGACTAGAGTATTAGCATGGGGTTGAAACAAGTATCCTTTGTAGAGAGGTCGTCCCTATCTCGGAGGTCAAATAATACACTAAAGTATTAGCATGGGGTTGAAACAAGTGTCCCTTGTAGAGAGGTCGTCCCTATCTCGGAGGTCAAATAATAGACTAGAGTATTAGCATGGGGTTGAAAGCAAGTGTCCTTTGTAGAGAGGTCGTCCCTATCTCGGAGGTCAAATAATAGACTAGAGTATTAGCATGGGGTTGAAACAAGTGTCCCTTGTAGAGAGGTCGTCCCTATCTCAGAAGGTACACTAAAGTATTAGCATGGGGTTGAAGCAAGTGTCCTTTATAGAGAGGTCGTCCCTATCTCGGAGGTCAAATAATACACTAAAGTATTAGCATGGGGTTGAAACAAGTGTCCCTTGTAGAGAGGTCGTCCCTATCTCGGAGGTCAAATAATAGACTAGAGTATTAGCATGGGGTTGAAGCAAGTGTCCTTTGTAGAGAGGTCGTCCCTATCTCGGAGGTCAAATAATAGACTAGAGTATTAGCATGGGGTTGAAACAAGTGTCCCTTGTAGAGAGGTCGTCCCTATCTCAGAAGGTCAAATAATACACTAAAGTATTAGCATGGGGTGGAAACAAGTGTCCCTTGTAGAGAGGTCGTCCCTATCTCGGAGGTCAAATAATAGACTAGAGTATTAGCATGGGGTTGAAACAAGTGTCCCTTGTAGAGAGGTCGTCCCTATCTCGGAGGTCAAATAATAGACTAGAGTATTAGCATGGGGTGGAAACAAGTATCCCTTGTAGAGAGGTCGTCCCTATCTCAGAAGGTCAAATAATACACTAAAGTATTAGCATGGGGTTGAAGCAAGTGTCCTTTGTAGAGAGGTCGTCCCTATCTCAGAAGGTCAAATAATACACTAAAGTATTAGCATGGGGTTGAAACAAGTATCCTTTGTAGAGAGGTCGTCCCTATCTCGGAGGTGAAATAATACACTAAAGTATTAGCATGGGGTTGAAACAAGTGTCCTTTGTAGAGCGGTCGTCCCTATCTCTGAGGTCAAATAATACACTAAAGTATTAGCTTGGGGTTGAAACAAGTGTCCTTTGTAGAGAGGTCGTCCCTATCTCGGAGGTCAAATAATACACTAAAGTATTAGCATGGGAGAGAGAGAGAGAGAGAGACCTCCCCATCTCATGGCTTGAGAAAACCCTTCAGCCGATAGCCACCAAAGCCTTGAAGAAGTGGGCAGGTCTGGCCAAGTCAGCCAACACCTCCATCCTGTTTCTCCCTGTGAAGCGAGGTGGACTGGCTCTTCCCTCCATCCCGCCCATGTACAAGAAGCAACAGGCATCCCGCATGGTGCAACTTTTCATGTCAGGGGATCCAGGGGTGCGGAAGGCAGCTGATGAGAGGGAGAAGCAGCGGTCGAAGTTCAAGCCAGCCATGTTTGTTGATGATCTACATATAGATCGTGCCCAGACCCGAAGAGCCCTCTCAGGAGCTGTCAAGACCTTGCTCGCTGAGGAGGAAGCTGACCAAAACCACCTTCACCTATGCCAGCTCTCATCTCAGAGGGAGATGGCTAGGGTTTGGGGAGAGTATTCTCCACAACTGTGGGTGAAGGCTGTGCAAAGCCTCCCTCCTGAAGTTATGAAGTTTGCCATCAACGCTTCATCAAACACTCTCCCGACCAATGCCAACCTCCATCTCTGGGGCAAAAAGAACAGCGATGTCTGTCGCCTTTGTCAAGAGGCCAGACAGTCCCTTTCTCATGTCCTCAACAACTGTCAGGTCGCTATGGAGCTGAGGAGGTACAGCAAGAGACACGACGAAGTCCTCAAGGTCATCGGGGCTTTCATCAGAGCCAACCGCCCCCCCCCCCCACTTCGCCCTCACTATCGACCATCCTTCGGCTACTTACTCATTTCCCCACCACATTACTCCAACTGATCTGCGCCCAGATATCGTGTGGTGGTGTGACAGTCAGAAAGAGTTGTGGCTTTTCGAACTGACCATCAGCTACGAGACTGCTGTAGCGGATGCACGCCTGAGGAAGACCACCAAGTACCAGGATCTGGTGGATTCGGGAAGAGCTGCCGGCTTCAAGACCACTCTTATCACACTGGAGGTGGGGTCTCGTGGCATGCTGGCAGTCTCTGATTTCGACTCCATCCGTGCGGCCACTCACACCTCCAGGTCATTCGATCCACCCTACTGGAGTCCTTCCAAATATGGACATCTAGGAACAGCACCACCTGACCCTCCCTCCGTCTGCAGTTTCTATGAACCTTTTACATAATTTCTGTAGGTATATATACATATATTTCTTTTTCTTTTGGTGAGGCTATGTATATGCGCAACACAGTCGTCATGTGTTTTGAGCTTACCTGGTTTTGTAGTCACCACCTCATTGCATTTAACATGTATGTAACCACCATGCAATGAAGAGTTTTGAGGAAGAGAGAGGGAAAGTTGTGAAGGTACTAGCGAATAATGATGTCTTACCGTCACTGAGGTGACTGAGGACCCACTGACACCAAATGACATCATAACGATCCTTCTCGGGAGTGAATTCCTACACATTGTACACATACATTCAGTGACACAATGACACACACTCTCTCACAACAACTAACAGGAACTAGACAAAACTCCCCCATTTCATCAACGTGTAAATATATCAGTGGATATGAAAAGGAAACACTTGAGGGGGTGTCCCTCCTTCTCCTTTGTCGCATAAAATTTGATATATTTGTGCATTATTGAGGCAGCACTGAATGCATGCATTATAAACCTGCTCTATGAATGTACTATCTTTACATAAAGATCCAACTATGCCAAATATTCGGTACGTCATAGGCATATCCCTCCCCCTTCTCTCTCAATACAGCTCTGATCTACACAACTGCAACCCTCACCACTTGCTGAGGCTATCACGTCCATGAAGTTCTAATACCTACCCCACCAGTGCAAAATAGCAACAGTTGGCTTGTTCCCGCTTGCCAAAAATGCACTGCATTCTCTTCAATCCCAGCTCTTACTATACAAACCCCTGTGGACACTGACCTATTAGTAGGCAAGCTGATTCAGATTTCCACTTGTTTCTTTGGACCCACAAAAATTTGGGTAGGCACCTTGTTTAACTCAGATGTGTGCGGCAGAGTGTTTTGGAGACAGAGGTACTGCCAACATGTAATGTGGTGTAATAAGCACTCAGAAGTATTGGCAAGCGAAACGAGTCTACATGTACCTGGTTGTCTGAATGTGGGTTTATTATGTTATGTGATGGGCACGGGCACTGCACATACACCGTAATGTTACGTGATTCTCAAAATGCACACGAAAATTGAACTACTCGACAAAAAATGCGCTTCAATCCTTCTAGTTATTTGTACCACAAGCAATGTAGAGTTATACCTAGGGCCATGGACAGCGGTTAATCAGATGGGGCGTAGACACATTACATGAAAGAGAAGGGAAACAAGATTATTCTGAAACAGGAAAATTATTTCGTAACTTCACCCAAAAGTCCTTTTCAAGATGTCACATCTCTACACCAAGAAATAGTTTATAGGCAGAAGTATAGGGCAGACCTGAAGGCCTTGTGCTATCTTTCTCTCCACTCTGTCGCCTGCTGGACCGAGGTAGGTGGCAGATTTCTGGAGGAAGGTCTCGTTCTGTTCCACCATATCCACCGATGAGAACAGGGGAAGGAGGAGTCGCTTTGTGATTCTACCAATCCCTGACCCACAGTCTGAGGAGGGAAGGAGAGGGAGGGAGGGAGGGAGTGACACAATATACTCCCAGGCGGCAAAGCCTTTCAATAATGTGCTCCCTCTCAACTCTTTACGCTTGCAGTCAGCCTCTGTCTTTTAAAAGTCAAACCTTCTCTCCCTTCACTCACTTCAGCTTACCTAGTCCTTTGTTACGCTGATACTAGGTAAGTCTAGCAAGTTGTTACGCTGATACTAGGTAAGTCTAGCAAGTTGTTACGCTGATACTAGGTAACTCTATCAAGTTGTTACGCTGAGACTAGGTAACTCTATCAAGTTGTTACGCTGATACTAGGTAAGTCTAGCAAGTTGTTACGCTGATACTAGGTAAGTCTAGCAAGTTGTTACGCTGATACTAGGTAAGTCTAGCAAGTTGTTACGCTGATACTAGGTAACTCTAGCAAGTTGTTACGCTGAGACTAGGTAACTCTAGCAAGTTGTTACGCTGATACTAGGTAAGTCTAGCAAGTTGTTACGCTGAGACTAGGTAACTCTATCAAGTTGTTACGCTGATACTAGGTAAGTCTAGCAAGTTGTTACGCTGATACTAGGTAACTCTAGCAAGTTGTTACGCTGAGACTAGGTAACTCTAGCAAGTTGTTACGCTGATACTAGGTAAGTCTAGCAAGCTCAAAACACAACACAAAAATGGACGTGACGCCGCAGCTTACGGACTAGGCATACAAGAACACAACAGAAAGAAAGTACAGTAGGGTGAAGCATGAAGTGTGCTCACATCAACTCACCTAGTGCTCTGTTAGGTGCAGCAACGGCAGACGTTCCCTAAACATGGGACTAATAATCAGTTCTCATCATGCATGAGCCAGTCACCAACCTGGATGAGTGGAGTGAGAAATTTCCTGGAGAAGTTGACGTCCAGAGTCGAGTGTCGGCCGAAACCACCTAACATCCCTTCGACTGTAGCCGGAACACCCTGCAACAGATCACTCACGGACTGACTGAGTGCTGTTTGAAAGTTTGGAGCTCTTTCACACCTCCCAGTATTTGGCTGCGTCCGTGTAGAAGACGCCCATGTTGACTTCATCCTCCCAGTTCTCCTCTTCCCCTCCTTCCTTCCTCGCTAGGCCCTCCTCTTGGCTGCCAGTAGCGGTAGCAACAACTAGCTCGGCCATCGCTCGGCACAACCCGCCCATACTGTGGTGCGCATGCGTAGAAATGTTTGCTGACTCTGCACAAAAGTCGCTGACTCGGCACACACGTGGACGACGACGGGGCAGGACGAATGGACGGAAAAGTAGAAGAGCCGAATTCGACTCCAGGCATGTGTACGTGTGGCTCCCAGCCCGGCGAGCCTTCTCCTTCCTCCCCGTCCACCTCCCTGCAGAGAGACGCGACGGGAGACGGAGGTGGGGGAGGAGGAAGAGGGCCAAGAAAAAGGTTTGTTGGAGTCCAGCGAGCAGGTGGCGGGAAACCCTCCACCGAGCTGGTGACGCGGACAGGAGGCGCGGGGAAGAGGCGAGTGGTCACTCAAGTTCCGGGCTCCATCCTAAACGACGCCGAGCTAAACGCAGCCCTGTCGGTCCTCCCCGAAAACTACAACTTTGAGATTCACAAGACCGTCTGGCGAGTGAAGCAAGCGGGGGCCAAATGCGTGGCACTGCAATTTCCCGAGGGCCTTCTCCTGTTTGCCTGTACCATTAGTGACATCATTGAGCGATTCACTGGGGCAGATACAGTCATTATGGGCGACGTTACCTACGGCGCCTGCTGTGTGGACGATTTCACAGCTCGAGCACTGGGAGCCGACTTTATGGTGCACTACGGGCACAGCTGCCTCGTTCCAATTGATGCCACCCTCATCAAGATGCTCTACGTCTTTGTCGACGTCCAGATAGACAACGTCCACGTGATGGAGACGCTGCGATTCAACTTCAAACCGCGGAGCACCCTGGCTCTTGTGAGCACTATACAGTTCGTGCCAGCTCTTCAGAGCATCCATCGAGAACTCCAGGCCGACTTCAAAGTTGTGGTACCCCAGTCCCGGCCGTTGTCTCCGGGGGAGATCCTGGGGTGCACGTCACCCCGGTTACCCCGCGGGGTAGACGCCGTGGTGTATATCGGAGACGGCCGGTTTCACCTGGAGTCGATCATGATCTCGAACCCCGACACCCCGGCTTATCGCTACGACCCTTACTCCAAGGAGTTCACTCGGGAGTACTACGACCACGACGTCATGCTCAAATCTCGGAGGGATGCAATTCTCGAAGCAAGCAAGGCTCGTCATTTCGGGATCATCCTCGGGTCTCTGGGACGGCAGGGTAGTCCCAATATCCTGGCCCACTTACAGAGAGTGATGGAGCGTCGCGGGCGACGCTACGTCGTCGTTCTACTCTCTGAGATATTTCCAGAGAAGCTGAGGCTGTTTGAAGGCGTGGATGCCTGGATCCAGGTGGCATGTCCGCGGCTATCTATTGACTGGGGATCCGCCTTTGACAAGCCACTTTTGACTCCGTTTGAGGCTGCGGTAGCTCTCAGAGAGACAGAGTGGGTGACGGAGGAGGGAGAGGGAAGGGAGGGAGGAGGGAGAGAGGGAGAGGAGGGAGGAGGAGGAGGGGAAGAGAAAGGGGAGGGGACTGGTGGTGTTTATCCAATGGACTACTATGCCAATGAGAGTCTTGGCCCGTGGACTGTCAACAATATCGCTCACAAAAAGACCAAACGAAAACCACTAACATGACCTTCTGTATCATTGTCCTTTTTTTTTTTATAAAGTGAGTAAGTGCTAGCATTGAATTGTACAGTCATGACTGGTGTTTGTATTACAGTATATACAGAGCGAAAGTGATTTATTTTGTAATAAAATTGTGATGAAGTGACTAAATGTTTTGCAGAAGTGGGTATATATGTAGATTGGACATGAGTTAGAAGACAAAAGCGTTGAATGATTGGTGTTGAAGGTAGTGGTGGGCTTTATCTGGAGAACTTTACATGGCACCTTCCTCTATCACACACGACATGTTGTATGCCATCTTGTGACAGAGCCGGCGAGTCTCCGTCACCTGCTGTGTCTGACTCTCTGGTGAAAGTGAGGCTCTCTCTTCACTGCCTCTCCTCCGGTCCGATTCTCTTCACTGTCGCAGATTGTAGGGTCTTCCTCACCGGGATGTGTGTCCGGGGCCTCATCTACTCCTGGTTCAGTTCGAGGTGAAGTAGTGGGTCTGTGGGGAGCTGAAACCCTCCTCCTATTTCTCTTCCCTCTCCTTCCTCTCTTCTTCCGAGCACAACCACAGCCTGTGGAGGATCACCACAATAATAAGAATGAGATCTCCGTTACAGGTTTAAACCAATTTTGCTTTCGCTTTCACCTATTTTTCTCACGAGATTATCCATTTTTCTTCAGTTAAAAAGGAGATTGATGAGCAAAGAACCAAACATTACACAATGAAAATAATTATTCAGATACTATAATATAGCGGGTCACATATACTACGATTATTATACTGTAGAATGACAGAAAGTTCTGTATAATCTTCCTATGAGGATTCTTGCTGTGAGTTGAAAGAGTTGGAGAGAAATAATATCTGGATGTATCTGTATTTCAATAGAATATTCACCTATTGCAAGCTCACATCTATTCCGTAGTATATACCCACAGTTAAGGCTACTTTGGCATGGGGCTCCTTTTCGCATGCACGGAGATCACACTGTAAGTATATAATTTCCTCACCTTTGCAGTTTTCTATGTCATCACGACTGTCCCTCCTCTCGCCACTCTCCCTCCTCTCGCCACTCTCCCTCCCCTCACCACTGTCCCTCCTCTCACCACTCTCCCTCCCCTCACCACTGTCCCTCCTCTCGCCACTGTCCCTCCTCTCACCACTGTCCCTCCTCTCACCACTCTCCCTCCTCTCACCACTCTCCCTCCTCTCACCACTCTCCCTCCCCTCACCACTGTCCCTCCTCTCGCCACTCTCCCTCCTCTCACCACTGTCCCTCCTCTCGCCACTGTCCCTCCTCTCACCACTCTCCCTCCCCTCGCCACTCTCCCTCCCCTCACCACTCTCCCCACTCCAATCCATCACTGGGCAGTCCTCAAGACTCATGACGTAGTAGCTCTGGTCGAATGCACCGTAACAATCTGGGTAGAGAGTTCTTGACGACGTGGTGCCACAAGTCCAGCTGTGATGTTCCTCGGGCAGTGTTAGCCGATCCAGTGCCATTTTCCTCAGTCTCTGCGTCTGCCTTCTGGACGTCCCATCGAGCAATGGGATGGGTGTTTCGCCGCTATGGGACAGCTGGTATTGGGAGAGGAAGGAGGAGTCTTCGGAGTATGGAGGGGGGAAGGTGTTGAGGGTGTGAGGGTGCGGAGGAGGGACGGAGAGGAGCTGGAGGCCGAAGAGGTCGTGGAGGGTGGAGTTAGTGGGGCAGGAGGCGGGGTCAGGGAACCCGGCAAACTGGCCGGGAGAGAGGTCTGTGTCAAGGAGTGTCACTGGCGCTGCTCTCGCCAGAGAAATGTCCATCTGGACATAGTAAAGAGAGAGAAAAGATGGACCAGACTGAGGGTGGGGCAAAACATGAAGCTGTAATAGTTTTTACACAGTGGAACATGCTTTCTTAAGATACATCTGTTTCTTTGTATAGTCACTGGGGAAGATTGTAATTTCAAGAACTGTGTTCAAAACTCAGATAAAAAAACACTACGAATAAAGGAAAAATCTATCTATAAAGAACACACTTTGATGTCCCACCATATGTTTAACCTCCAAATTAGAGAGGACTCCCTCTAAATATGCATGGTCCCCAGTGTCCATTATTATTTAGAGGTTCGACTGTAATCAATTAATAATGAAGAATGTCTCTGCATTTCAAGTAGCACTACGTCAAAGTCACTATATACTCACTTTGTTGGTGGTGTGGTCAGGTATAGTATCAGGGACAAGAGGAGGGGGAGGTGGAGGGAGGGGCCAGGGGGAGGGAGGGTAGTACCGCAGCATGGAAGACACAATGTCGTAGTAGGGCTGTGTCCCGGTGCAGAACTGGAACGAGCAAATCGGGGGTGGGCTGGGTGTCTGGGGCATTGCCGGAATGGAGGCTTGCAGACAACTCGGAAACGGAGAAACTGCAAGAGATGAAAAATGTGAAGATAATTGCTTACTCTGTGCAAGAACGGTATGAGTTTCGCTTTTCCACTGAAATTAAGCGCGATTAATGGTAAAAGCCTGCAAATAATGCAACACATTTTGGCGACCGAAACTAAGTGCAAGATTTTTAAATGTTTAATGGTATTAGCAGTGCGACTCACATACATACATTCGCTCGCCGATAAAAATTTAATGTGTCCGGCCTACTTCCATCAGTGATGTCCATGTCGTTGAGTTTCCCCTCCTGTCTGAGGTAGCGCTCCACCTCTCTCTCCACGCTAGCCCATCTCTCAGGGACCACCTCCCAGTAGTAGCCCTTCTTTCCCTGCCACCGCATGGAGTCCTTCACCTTCCTGAAGGCGGGGTTGAGAGAGAGGTTGTGTCGGATCGAGTTCTGAAACAGGACAGAGGGGGGTTTGATATAGCATGTTGTTTGTTGAATATTAGCGTAAGATTTACCTTCCAGCCGTCCGGAGCACCCTTGAAATACGGAAACTGGTCCCTGGAAGAACGGGAAAATGCGCATGCGCTACATGTGCAACAAACCAGCCCCTCCCACTTTCTCTAGCTGGCCAGTTGCTTTATAGATCAGAGAGCATGCTAACAGTCTAAAAACGACTGCACACTCACTCGATGTAGGTGTAGATCTCGCTGACTGGTAGACAGCCGTCCTCGCTCGCCATCAACGCCAGACCAATGAGACTCGTGTAGGAGCAGTTCGGCTTCTTTGTCCTCGCCTCTTCCTCCTCCCCCTCTCCCCCCTTGTCGCCTCGCTTGCTGCTGCTCTTCTTGCCTTTCTCCTTCCTTCCCGCCTCTCTCTTGAACGGACTCGAGTCTTTGCCACGGAAAGAGCCGTCACAACCGCTTCCCGCTCTTGACTCTGCAACTAGCCGCGGAGCAAAGGAGGCGAGGGAGCTTGTTTGCTTGGCGGAGTGGTGTGCCGACGGTCCTTCTCTGTGCTGCGGGAAGTGTTTGCTCCGTGCGAATCCTCCTTTCCTGGTAGGCGAAACAGGGTTCTGCATCGGCACGGGTGCCCCGGCCACCCAGTTGAGGTTCGTCAGCTCAGTGTCAGCTGGTGGAGGAGGAGGATGGGGAGGAAGGTAAGGGAAGTGGAAGGGAAAGCCTCCGCCACTGGATTGGCTAGTCGCATCCATTGCAAGAACTCGGTGTCCAGGACGGCGTGCAGCGAGATCGAGAGTGAGCGTCTGACGTTTTCGGAGAAAGCTTCAGTTTCGGTAACCATGGCCCCATCGTAACAGACTTCTTCAAAACGCCTCTGCACACTGATTTTAGTGTGGGACCCGTCGCAGGCGCGTGCAACCCGTCGAAGGCGCGTGCGTCTTTCTCCAGATTCGCCCCAAGGCTATAGCTACGTACGTGTGCACAAGTGGTGGAAGAAGTATGACAAAATAATCAAGGAATAATACTGCTGTTTTCAGTGGAGGATTTGCGGGAGAGAAGGTAGGCAAGAGAAGCAGACGCTGCAGTGGCCAGTAGCATGCCTGCAGCACAGAAGAGGAATATTTCGGGCGGTCCCCCTGTCGCCCCTTGGAGGGAGAGGAGAGCGAGGGAGGAGAATAGGGTGAGGGGGACTCTGAACCAGTTGACAGTGCTCAGTTGGACCTCCTGTGGCACCTCAGACTCTCTCAGTGTCCGCAGAATGGGGAAATAGAGCCCACAGAGCAGCTCGAATAGTTGTAGACAGATTAGCATTCTCAACCGGTAGAGTGGGGCTGTCTTATTGCTGGCAAAGTAAGCGGCAACTAGAAACACGACTGTTGCACTCGACGTTACCACCACGAGCATCTGAGTTGGGGGGAACCTGTTTTTGGCAATGAGGTAGTCACAGACGAGGGAACCGACAAGGAAACAGGTCATGAAAGAGGCGAAGGCTATCCCCAGAGGGAGGTCGTGGTACACGTCCAGCGCCGGCGTCCACAGAAACACAAACACAAACACCACACTCTCAAACAGGCTCTGCACCGTCCCAATTAGAAATATTTGCACGTTTTGTACGATGGTCTTGAGCCCCTCGAATGCTGCCTTACGGAACTGTTTCAAACTAACGGTCTGCTTTTCTCCACAGTTTTCCTCCCAGGATGCTGCAATTGAAGCCCCAGCCACCAGCAGAACGGGACACGCCACGATAAAGGGCGAAACGGGGCCAAACGAAAGCCACCGGGCAAACACGTCGGCCAAAACTCCCGCAACTATGGCGGCAACGCTACTCCCAAAGGCAACATGACCGAAAGTGACAGGAATCCACTCCGAGGGGAAATCGAACCGCTGCGTGTGCTCGTGGACGTACCACGACTCCAAACCCGAGAACACGATGGTGTTACTCAATCCCGAGAGACACCTTCCGACGAGTAAAACCCCGTAATTAGGAACGGCGGTGGCGAGACAGGAGAGTACGTAGAGGAAGCAGAAAGCGACAATTGTAGTCCGCCGACCGTAGCGATTGGCAATGATGTCTTTGGCAGGGAAGATTAGGGCGCTGGAAACCATCCCGCTGACGTAAATGACGGCTACCTGCGTCTCCATGAAGCCGTGCCAGTGATAGAGACGGTAGAGATAGGGACCCTGCAGCCAGTCGCCCAGAACCACGCACAGGTAGAGCGGGAGGTATGTCCGGAGGGCGAAGTGGGTGTAGGTGGGATTGGTGGCGCTCTCGTCCTTCACCACGCGGAGTTTGAAGTAGGTGGCGAGCCCGAGGAGGGCCAGGAGAAACAGGGAGCTGTACACGACCACCAACATGGCCGATTCTATTCGCCTTAGCCTCACGAACGCTCACCGGTCTTCGGAAAAACTCAACCGTCGCACACAAGGGCCTACATCTGATGTTCCAGGATCCAGCAAGCTTCTTTTCATCGAGGATTTCTCCTCTTCTCTCCCACTGTGTCTTCTTATTAGTGCCCACCTCGGATTGGATCGCGGACTGAGCCGGAGTGGAACGGGTTCGAGTCCAGATGTATCACGTGGGCGGAGAAGCACAATATTTTTTCCGGGGAGACGAAAATTAGATGCATGTGCAGGATCGAGGAGGCGTGCTTTGTTCAGTACGGTGCAGTGGATCTCGGTGGATCTAGTCCAGAGGAGAGAGTGTGTTAGCGGAGAGACCTGCCGTGCCGGAATGGCCGGGAATGTCGAGTAAGAGATGTATGGAGAACCGACATACGGCTCTCTCGTTACCGCGGTCTGTGTTCAAGCAAAGCTACTTTGCGAGCACCTTTACTGCATGTGTGTGTTATCATTCTGTGCACGCGTGTGCGGGTCGGAGAGAGCTGCGCTAGGTGTACGTGAACGGACCGTTTGCGTGCATGCTCCGCAGATCGCGTTTGCGTGAGTAAATACGCTGCCTCATTTGCGTAATGAATTGCTGTTAGCTGCCAGCGTAATTGGCGTCTTTTGATATGCAAAGTGCGCCGCTATTGTGGCCCGCGTGACTCCCTTGCACGTCTCTGGCATCATTTACTGCAACATACACCTGATGTGTGCAGTGGTAAAGTCTTTGAGGTCACTGTGTGTGTGTAAGTGTGAGGTGACACACCTTGTACCAAAACATCAGTCCTATAAGTGGGCGTGGTAGACCCTTGGAAAAGTGGGCGTGGCGGCAAGTGAACTTCTCAGCTAAAGTTGCATTTAGCTACACATGTATGCACTTTGTGAACAATGGGGCTCTTTATACCAATTGTGCCTGTGTAATAAGTGTGTTTTACCCTGCGTACCACAACGTTGTGAAACGTGCTGTTCCTGTAGTTTTGCCCATGGGAGGAAACTGATTATCTTTTATTGAGCGCATACGAACCGATGCCTTGTTTATCAATACCTTAGGTCCCAGTTACTGGGTGGACACTTAGGATTCTTTGCCCCTAGACCTGTTCTTGGGGGAAAGAAAAGGACAATTGTGCGATGGTGAAAGTGTCCTTATTACAGAGATGTGTCCCTACATTCAGTGTAACCCCTGAAATAGGTATATACACCTCCCTAATCAGGGCAGGTTCTATTGTCTGGATTAGAAGGGTGCCACTGTAGTTGTTTCTTTGCCACTCTATAGTTCATACAGTGTGTGGACCCCCAAAGGAGGGGACACCTCTGACGAAACAGTGCACCGTTGCATTTTACCCCGCGGAAGATACAATGACAATTTTGCAATTCATTGTAACAGGAATATCATCGTAAAGTGGTCAATTGTTTTCTACATCTTTGTCGTAGTGGCTAACACCCAATGTTTTGTTGGACTCTTTCTCTCATGTCTCTCGCTGTTAAAAACAGCTGTCAGCCCCTCCCTTGGCACTACGACCCAGCAGACTCAAGTGCCACTTAGTCTCAACACTGTGTGTGCTGCTGCATTGGTATTAAGGTGTTACCTAATTACAATGCAGACCACATACACTTTGTACTGACAGTGGCGCTGGGCATAATTATTATGAGCTTGTTAAAGTCATGCTGTTTCCAAGCAGCTAACTGCTATGGTAGTTATCAGCATTGTTTGGTGGCTGCATTCATGTAGTCCCTTGTGTTACCATCGTACACACTCATTGTAGGTAGGACATCATAATACCCGTGCAGTAATATATTGCCATGGTCTCTCTGTGCGTGCATGCATGCGTGTACATTTGACTTTATCATCCCCCGAGCAAGATATATACATGTGTTGGTGCTAAATACCGTACTCGTGAGTGTAATTCACACAATGTTTGCATGTTCTCTTGAGAGATTGTAGTATATACCTTTGCTACTGAATACACACATACAATTGACGACCTTTAGACCTCCACTAGCGAGTATGTATGCACATTGCAGTGTTCTTTGTTAGGTAATAGTAGTATCCATTTCTGAAGGACCAAGATGTTGGTTCTCCTTCCTAGTGGTATGCAAGCCCACTATAGTACATGATGTAGACCACTATTATAGGCGGATGTAATGTAAGGTAAAGTACACAGTACTGTAGTATTATATGTGAGTCTCTGAATCTGATGCTAGCAGTTTCCCCCATTTGTTAGTCTTCAGAAAGTCATTTCCTGGAATTCCACACCTGTAGGAGCCCTCTCTCTTTCACTGGTGGCCACCAGCCTTTTTTGGTCATAACAAAGACCACCAGCTTCTTACTGAAACACCTCCTGAACCTGTACAAATGCATGCACAGTTGGAGGTGGAAATTAATGACCTGTAAAGCAACCAACTTGTCTCTCCAAGCTGGCAGGAGAGTTTAATGCTCTGATACAAGTGGTTGAGGTCGGGAAATCTTGAGGTATTGTCCTGAGGTTCAGGACACCTCAAGGAACTGTCCTGAAGTTCAGGACACCTCGAGGTATTGTCCTGGAGGCCAAGACACCTCGAGGAACTGTCTTGAAGTTCAGGACACCTCGAGGAACTGTCCTGAGTTCAGGACACCCTCGAAGTATTGTCCTGGAGTCCAAGACACCTCGAGGAACTGTCCTGAAGTTCAGGAAACCTCAAGGAACTGTCCTGAAGTTCAGGACACCTCGAAGTATTGTCCTGGAGTCCAAGACACCTCGAGGAACTGTCCTGAAGTTCAGGAAACCTCAAGGAATTGTCCTGAAGTTCAGGACACATTGAGGTATTGGTAGAGGTGTTACAATGTCCTGTTAGGAATTGGAGAGGTTTTCGGTCGGTAGTGTGTCTTTGGGTTATTGTTGTCTGTTGACGTTTGGAGGGAAGCTGTGTTCTCTTTCCTTCCCGACCCAGCTGCCAGCTGCACTCTATCAGGGCCTAAACACACTGGCATATTATTATTACACACATCACACACATCACACACGTCACACACATCACACATGTCACACACGTCACACACATCACACATGTCACACACATCACACACGTCACACACATCACACATGTCACACACATCACACACATCACACACGTCACACACATCACACATGTCACACACGTCACACACATCACACATGTCACACACATCACACACGTCACACACATCACACACATCACACACGTCACACACATCACACACACACATCACACACGTCACACATCACACTATGTATTCTTGAGGCCTGTAACTACATGTAGTTACAGATTTGTGCATTATTGTACATTGGGACCTTCTGAGGCACAGATTTACACCTAATAAGGATTGGTGTGTGCGTGTTGTGTTGTATCGTATGCGTAATGAAAGTGTATTTGTGAGAGGACTGGGGATTGGTGGTGGGTAGAGATTGTGTATAAATCATCGTCGTACAAGAGGCTACTGTGGCGTCTTTCACTGTAAACATTGCTTGCTGTGTGTACTAATTCTGGCTTAGTCCAGACCATACCTGTTTACTTTGGGTGCTCTCCACACCTTGATTACTGTACTACTGTGCGGCTAGTATATGAGGCTGTGGTGTGTGCTATTCCGTTGTCCACACACTTAACCAGCCACTGACACATGCGTCCAGACCCTCCACAAGTCCAAGAATTTGCATATGGTAGGCGCTGATACTTGATACATAGAATTCTGCTGATTTAAGAAGATGCCAATGGCATCCAAAGGGTTAGGACTGGTCTCCATATTATAGTCTTACTCAAATTTGTGCAGTCTGGACATACTGTATGGAACCACTCACTAGATTTGTGCAAGACCCGTTAATTAAGACCACCCAAGTGTATAGGGGTCTTGGAAATAGAAATGCTCCCCAGACCACTGCAGACCGCACACGATATGGAGACCCAGCCTTAAGGGCAACTAATAGCAAAACAACTGCCTCAACCCGTTCAAAAAACCGTTACTTGATATACGTGGCTCCTCATGCATGTGTGGGTTCACACACCACCTTATGCCCCTCTTTTCTTACTTGCTCCCTCATCTCTGGACCCCACTTCTTCAATTAACATCTCTCTCTTCTTACCTCTCTTTCATGTCTTCTCCCCCCACTCTGTGTTCTGTCCCTCGACCGAAGAATTGACACATTTGTTGCGGCATTCCGACAGTCTTGAAGCTCTAGACAATTTGGTCAAAACTAAGCATAAGTATGTAGTTAGAATAATAGTGTACTAGCCATTTACGGTATACACACCATGTGGTGTACTGGCAGTGGTCAGCATTATACTATAGCTGTGTCTACTTCCTTATGGAGCTGTGTCTTCCGTTGCATTAAGTGGGGTTCCCACATTAATAACA